GAGGATGGCCCGCTGACTACAGGTGCGCATGTTCTTTGAGGTAGAAAAATGTCCATAACTGAATGAATGGAAGATGGATAAGTTTTAATACCATGGTGTGAAACATTTCAGACAAAAATAATACCCTCTCCACGGAAACAATGGCAGACCTTCTACCCAAAAAGTTACCCAACGAACCTAAGTCTACATGCTTAGGTTTTTTGTGACAAGTTCTCCAACCAGTCTTCTGGAGACCACAGTTTGCTTGTGAATTGTGTGAATTAATGTTTTTAATTAATTAAATAATTATTTTTTAATTAATGTAATGCTTTGAAATTTGCATTCCCTGAGTGTCCTGCTTTAAGCACTTATGACAGGTTTGTATCTGGTAAATGTTGATCAGATAGCCTTACACAATCAAATGGCAGTTGTGAAGAGCTATTGGGGAGGAGTTAAAATGACAAAATTCTCAATAGTTATTACAAAATGCCAAAATGACACAGGTCTGATAATCTTGTGGAACTCCCCTTTGATCTTTCTAATATGGAGAAAGGACTACATGCAGGTCTGGTTACCATGAGACCTATGTCCAGATCTGCTGTGGGAACAAGGGACAACGTGTTGTTATTATTATTATTATTATTATTGTTACTACTACTACTACTACTACTACTACTACTACTACTACTAATAATAATAATAATAATAATAATAATAATTATTATTATTATTATTATTATTATTATTATTATTATTATAACATGCTCAGTTTTGTTTTCATTTATTTCCTTTGTTCCAACAATTTGGCAATATTTAACAGGTAGATTTATCCATCCATCCATCCATTTTCGTCCGCTTATCCGGGGCCGGGTCGCGGGGGCAGCAGTCTAAGCAAGGACTCCCAGACTTCCTTCACCCCAGACACGTCCTCCAGCTCCTCCGGGGGGACCCCGAGGCGTTCCCAGGCCAGCCGAGAGACATAGTCCCTCCAGCGTGTCCTGGGTCTTTCCCGGGGCCTCCTCCTGGTGTGACATGCCCAGAACACCTCCCGAGGGAGGCGCCCAGGAGGCATCCGAAACAGATGCCCGAGCCACCTCAACTGGCTCCTCTCGACGTGGAGGAGCAGCGGCTCTACTCCGAGCTCCTCCCGTGTGACTGAGCTCCTCACCCTATCTCTAAGGGAGCGCCCAGCCACCCTGCGGAGGAAACCCATTTCAAGCGCTTGTATCCGCGATCTCGTCCTTTCGGTCACTACCCAGAGCTCATGACCATAGGTGAGAGTAGGAACGAAGACTGACCGGTAAATCGAGAGCTTCGCCTTTCGGCTCAGCTCCCTCTTCACCACAACGGTCCGATACAGCGACCGCATCACTGCCGAAGCTGCACCGATCCGCCTGTCAATCTCACGTTCCGTCCTTCCCTCACTCGTGAACAAGACCCCGAGATACTTGAACTCCTCCACTTGAGGCAAAGACTCCCCACCCACCTGGAGAGGGCAAGCCACCTTTTTCCGGTCGAGAACCATGGCCTCAGACTTAGAAGAGCTGATCTTCATCCCAGCCGCTTCACACTCGGCTGCAAACCACCCCAGTGCACATTGCAGGTCCTGGTTCGATGAAGCCAACAGGACAACATCATCCGCAAACAGCAGAGATGAGATCCTGTGGTCCCCAAACCGGACCCCCTCCGGCCCCTGACTGCGCCTAGAAATTCTGTCCATAAATACAATGAACAGAACCGGTGACAAAGGGCAGCCCTGGCGGAGTCCAACATGCACAGGTCTGACTTACTGCCGGCAATGTGAACACAGCTCCTGCTCCGGTCATACAGGGACCGGACAGCCCTTAGCAAAGGGCTCCAGACCCCATACTCCCAGAGCACCCCCCACAGGACACCACGAGGGACACGGTCGAATGCCTTCTCCAAGACCACAAAGCACATGTGGACTGGTTGGGCAAACTCCCATGAACCCTCGAGCACCCGATGGAGAGTGTAGAGCTGGTCCAGTGTTCCACGGCCAGGACGAAAACCACACTGCTCTTCCTGGATCCGAGGTTCGACTATCGGTCGGATTCTCCTCTCCAGTACCCTGGCATAGACCTTACCAGGAAGGCTGAGGAGTGTGATCCCCCTATAGTTGGAACACACCCTCCGGTCCCCCTTCTTATACAGAGGGACCACCACCCCGGTTTGCCAGTCCAGAGGTACTGTCCCCGACCGCCACGCGATGTTGAAGAGGCGTTTCAGCCAAGACAGCCCCACAACATCCAGAGACTTAAGGTACTCAGGACGGATCTCATCAAACCCCGGAGCCTTGCCACCAAGGAGCTTTCCAACCACCTCAGTGACTTCAGCCAGGGTGATGGATGAGTCCGCCCCCGAGTCCCCAGCCTCGGCCTCCTCCTCGGAAGACGCGACGGTGGGATTGAGGAGATCCTCAAAGTATTCCTTCCACTGCCAGACAACGTCCCCAGTCGTGGTCAGCAGCTCTCCCCCCGCACTGGAAACAGTGTTGGTGAAGAACTCCTTCCTCCTCCTGAGGCGCCGGACGGTTTGCCAGAATTTCTTTGAGGCCGTCCGATAGTCCTCCTCCATGGCCTCCCCGAACTCCTCCCAGCTCCGAGTTTTTGCCTCCGCAACCACATGGGCTGCAGCACGCTTGGCCCGCCGGTACCCGTCAGCTGCTTCAGGAGTCCCACAAGCCAACAAGGCCCGATAGGACTCCTTCTTCAGCTTGACGGCATCCCTTACTTCCGGTGTCCACCACCGGGTTCGGGGATTGCCGCCGCGACAGGCACCACAGACCTTACGCCCACAGCTCCGAGCAGCCGCATCGACAATAGAAGCCGAGAATGAAGCCCACTCGGACTCCATATCTCCAGCCTTCCCCGGAATCCAGGAGAAGTCCTCCCGGAGGTGCGAGTTGAAAGTCCCTCTGACAGAGGGCTCCGCCAGACATTCCCAACAGACCCTCACTACACGCTTGGGCCTGCCAGGTCTTTCCGGCTTCCTCCTCCGCCAGCGAACCCAACTCACAACCAGGTGGTGATCAGTTGACAGCTCAGCCCCTCTCTTCACCCGAGTGTCCAAGACACGCGGCCGGAGATCAGATGACACGACTACAAAGTCGATCATCGACCTCCGACCTAGGGTGTCCTGGTGCCACGTGCACTTATGGACACCCTTGTGCTCGAACATGGTGTTGTTATGGACAAACCGTGACTAGCACAGAAGTCCAATAACAGAACACCACCGGGTTCAGATCAGGGAGGCCGTTCCTCCCAATCACCCCTCTCCAAGTGTCACTGTCGTTGCCCACGTGGGCGTTGAAGTCCCCCAGGAGAACAACGGAGTCCCCGGATGGTGCACTGTCTAGTACCCCTCCCAAGGACTCCGAGAAGGCCGGGTACTCAGCACTGCTGTTCGGCCCATAGGCCGACACCACAGTGAGAGACCTGTCCCCGACCCGAAGGCGCAGGGACGCGACCCTCTCGTTCACCGGGGTAAACTCCAACACACAGCGGCTGAGCTGTGGGGCAATGAGCAGGCCCACACCAGCCCGCCGCCGCTCCCCGCGGCCAACGCCAGAGAAATGGAGAGTCCAGCCCCTCTTAAGGAGTTGGGTTCCAGAGCCCAAACTGTGCGTGGAGGTGAGGCCGACTATATCTAGTCGGTAACGCTCAACCTCCCGCACAAGCTCAGGCTCCTTTCCCCCCAGCGAGGTGACATTCCATGTCCCCAGAGCTAGTCTCCATGTCCGGAGATCCGGTCGCCGAGGCCCCCCGCCGTCGACTGCCGCCCAGATCTCTCTGCACTGGCCCATATGGATCCTCCCGCGGGTGGTGGGCCCACGTGAGGACGGCCCCACGTCGCTCCTTCGGGCTAAGCCCGGCCGGGCCCCGTGGGGGAAGGCCCGGCTACCAGGCGCTCGCTGGCGAGCACCCACCCCAGGCCTGGCTCCAGGGTGAGGCCCCGGTGATGCCAATCCGGGCGACGTAACTGGCCTCTGTGTGTTGCTCATCATAGGGGCTTCTGAACCGTTCTTCGTCTGACCCGTCCCCCCGGACCTGTTTGCCTTGGGTGACCCTACCAGGGGCATGAAGCCCCCGACAACATAGCTCCTGGGATCATTCGGGCACTCAAACCCCTCCACCACGATAAGGTGACGGTTCAAGGAGGGGTGGTAGATTTATGCGTTTACTATTTTGGACTTTAACTGTATAAAACATGTATAGGATCTGTGTATCTCACTGAAACTGCCTTATCGCCATAGAAACACATGAGTCATCATCATGTGGGGCAGATGAGGAGCTCTCTCTCTCTCTCTCTCTCTGATTTTTGGCTGGTTTGGGAGGCGCTGCTGGTGTCACAGTATAGCTGCATACCAAGTACGAGCTATGGTTGCATTTGTTGAAGCTGAAGGCGCCCTCTTGTGCCAACCTACGGGAGCATAGATACATTGGTAAGCTAAATACTTCAATTCAAACTAAGGGGCTCATTCAGCTTTCTGATAAAACACACAAAACACAAAAGTAGACACTTTTAAAAATATATATAAATAATTTTGTAAATGTGAATCAACATCAAAGTTATAATTGTTACCAGTGAAATATATTGAAACATATTTAAAATGTTTCAAACCTGAGAACAAAAAACATATTTTATACAAATCGTACATGACCTATGCTACCAGTAAAAGTTTTTTTTTTTTGAGGTTGAACCATTGAACTGACAAAAAAGTTTTACAGATATCTGAAAAATCTAAAAAAAAAAGTTTGTTTGGATTAACAGACAAATATTCGGAAGCAAAATCAAATGATAAAGAATACAACTCAGTACACAACACTGATACATTACAACAGCTGTAACCTGAGGACAAAGGTCATGTTTATGAAATAGTTTATACAAATCGTATATAACCTATGTTAGGCTACCTATAAAACTTAAGTACGCGGAGAACAAAAACAAAATAAAAACAAAATTTGTAAAGAAAACAGAATAAATATTGACACTATCATGCATCAGTGGAATGTATATGATTTAATTAAAAGAATATGCATTGCATAAGAGGCTTGTGAAGACACCTGCCCTGAGATTTCAGTTATCTCCAAAATGAGGTCACAATGAGGAAACAGCTTCTCTTCAAAGGTACATCTTTGGTAAACACAGATATTTCATAACACAACAATTCCTCAAAGGAAATTCACACACACAAAGAGTAAAACAACAGTGGAATCATTAAACTAAACCTGCAATTCTTCTGGTAACATCCATGTAATAGAATCATAGACTCTTGAACAATAATACAACAATAATACAAATGAGTAATAATTGAGATATAGCTTTGTTTTAAGAATTCTTTACAGTTCAGTCTTCGTCCGTAATTCCTTTTAATTGAAGCTCTTCTTGAACCCTTGAAAGGTAACCAGGATCAGGATACCCAAAACTGAAACAGACAAATCCCTGGTTATCCCATATATTTACTGATCATGTTTACAAAATTAGACCTTACCACTGAGGACCTCCTGTCATGCTGGTCTTATGGTGGATGTCATTCCAGGTGATGACATTGTTGAGTCCAGTGGTGGCCGATCGGCCAATGGTGAAGATAAGTCTTTGCTCAAAGGCTCTCTTGAGCAATCTTAGGACTTTTTCTCCCTCTGGGCAGTCTGGGAGGTAGGCTGTTCGGGCTGTGCCTCTATACTGTCTTCCAGGATTAGGGTGCTCAGGCTGAATCAAACAATATACATGTAACACAGGGCAGTATCAGTATGAAGGAAGTAGTGTCAGGTTACAGGGAAAAGCATAAGGCATAAGACTATAGTAAATCACAACTAAAATTATATCATATAGGCCTACTATACTCTGTGTATAGCTCACTGGTACAGTTTACATGTGGCATATACCATACTTGTCAAAGTCTTGTAAGAACTGAATAGCAAGGACAGTAATATCAGGTGCCACAGTAGGTCAGCAGTGACTCTAGTGGAAACTGTTGGTGTGTCCTTATGTAAGGTACTAGGCACTATAAATTCACCATTTTATTATACAACAGCATCCCCAAGTGGACATTTGACGGATCCTATACGGAAAAGCACAGAGGCCGGTATAATAATTCTTCCAAGTTGCTAAAACACTTACGTGGTATCAAATTCAATTCTCACCCCTTGTATTCCCGAGGCGAACACATAGTCAATAGCGATTGACCCGCAGTGTTCATACCCGGGAAGAGACCGATAGCTGCGGGTGACAGACATGGCTCCTTCCGGCTGGGTCCCGGTGTACACCCCGTGGAAGGTGTTGCATATGGGGCAGGCTGGCTTTGACCTGAACACGGAGTCGATACACTTTGAGCAGAAGGAGTGGCGACACTTCAGAGTCTTCTTATCTCTGATTGTGTCTAAACAAATCGGACAGTCTTCCTTGTTTCCCATTGCTTTATGAACTTTGTCGTGCTATGCTGAACTCGACAGGGTTGCTGTAGCTATCATCAAAAACAGATGACGTCTTGGAGGAAAGTACCGCTCTCTTTCGATTGGCCCACAGCGCTGCTGTGATTGGATGGAAACCCTTACTATATAGCCCTATGTAGCCTTTTGTAAAGAACAGGCTAAACGTTCAGAATATATTGCACGACCCCAAAACCTGGATGCCTGATACAAATTAAAATTGCCATGGGGTCTATCAGAGGCTCAAAATTATGGAATAGACCGACGCTTGAAAACAACGCCCATGGATGAACTTCCGCTTTTTTCTTGGGCACTTGGCTACTTGGGTCAATGTTGAATGTCTTGTAATGTCAGTAATGCGTCTGTTGCTGTCTAAATGTGGCCATACCTGCTTGTCAAAGCCTGATTCCGCCAGATCTCAGAAGCTAAGCAGGGCCGGGCTGGGAATTCCAGGTGCCACAGTGGGCCGCCAATGGCAAAAACTGTTGTTGTGTCCTTAGGCAAAACACTTCACCCACATTGCCTAGAATGAAAGTGGTGTGTGCGTGAGTGATGGTGGTCGTTGGTGGGGCAGATGGTGCGGATTGGCAGCCTTGCTTCTGTCAATCTGCCCCAGGGCAGCTGTGGCTACAGTAGTAGCTTACCACCACTGAGTGTGGAGTGACTGAATAATGAAGTGCTTTGGGTATCTTATACAGCGCTATATAAATGCAATGATTAATTAATTAATTGAATATTTAATGATTTTACTTACCTTAGGAAACCTAGCTATTGTGCTAACTCTGGCTTATGTGGAAGTTGCTTACTGACACTTTAAAATGCACTGTCCTAAGTCAAATAAATAAATGATACAATGAAAAAAAAAAAAAAAATGAAATTAAATAAACTATTATTACCAGCTTGTTATGTGGCAATGTGTTCTAAAATACAACTAAAAAGTCATGTACAAGACCATAGCTGAAATTGTTTTCTACATTTCAAGTTTACCAGGGTGGCCAAAGAAATGTATATCCTTTTACGTCAGTAGTAGCTGCGTTTTACACAGAATTGTATATTTGGAATGAAAGGGTGTAGATAATTTGAAACATAACTTTTTATTCAAGTATTAAAATGTAAAGCACATTTTTATATCAACAGAGTATAAACTAAAACAACTGGAAAAGCAAATTAACAACTTTTCCTCAACAATCCCTTCCTAAGTTTTAATTTTGCTCACTCCTTTATGTATGCATAGAAATGTTTGCCTGGTAACTTTATGAGCTACTCACATAACTTATGTCCAAATGTTTTAGTTTCTTGGTCCCTTAACTGAAATGTAGGGGCTTTAACAAAATAAATTAGTTTTAAAAGAATATAAATTATTAATGTTTAACAAATGTCATCTTAGTTGAATTTTGGACTACAAGATCATTATAAACAAAATGGTAGGTTCTGTGAGGTTTTAAGTCAGAGAATCCTCTAAAACAAGTTATATAAACAAATCTTATCCTAATAAATCTTAATTACAGCATGCTAACTTTTTATAATCAAACTAAATGTAAGAGAAGGCACAATTATATAATAACTCAGATCAATTGTACCTGTGATATTTTTTTATAAACAATATTACATATGTTTCACATGTTAAATCAATAATTTGATATTTCATACTTCACTCTCCCAATTTAACAAGGAGGTATAGATTTTAAAGAGCTTTTGTGCCTTGGATTTGGTATGACTGGTCTATATGCCCTTTACATACTGACATCTTTATAAATCTAGATTGGCCTATTTGACAAGAATACTACTGAGAATCAATAGACTCAATGCATTAAAAATCGGGTATAACAAAGGAATGATGATTCCAAGGAAATAGACTGGACAGAAAAGTGCTGCAAAACTCTGCATACATTCGCCATTGTTTTGTAAAATTAGAGGAAAGTATTAAAATAAAAAACTAATACTTCCAAGAAACTGACATCAATTTGTAGTTTATAAGCGTTTACAGCCCATAACTACATTAACAATTTGGCATCTAAGCAATCTCCTTCCACCTAGAACTCTTCTAGAACCAGCTCCACAAAACTAAATGATAATAATAAAAATGTTAAAATAAATAAAATGCCTGTGAGTGCCTTGGATTGTAGTTATTGTACAAAATGAAATCCATATCATTTAAATTTAACAAACTAAACCAAAATCTGTATATATGAAACAAAATATCCACAACATAAATATTCAAATAACAAAAACTAATCATAATAATAACAATGTACCTTGTACAGTACCAACATGGTGACACTCTTGTGCATCAGGCTTCTGTTCTATTTGAAAACAGTTAGGTTCGTATTATACAAGAATGCTTTGCACTCAAAATATGGTCTTCCACTTTTAGCACTGCTGCTGATACGAACAAACAAATGAACAGCTAATGTAGGGGTGAGGGCTTGCTGCAGCATCAGATGAGAGTCCTTTAAGCAGTGGGCAGAGGCTGGGGTGGTGCTCAGAGCAAGGACAGTAAAAAGTCATAGAGTCCTGGAAGAGAGTCACTATGAGGCGATCAGTCCGCTGTGATGCCTTTCTCTCTGAGCTCCTCTGTCACTCGCACAAGGTAAGTCGGGTCCGGGTAGCCAAAACTGTCAGAACAAATTAGGATGCCATTAGTAAATCTCAACATAGACATCAACTGATAGTCTTTCAAGACAGAGAAAAGTATTGAGTGTGTTGTGCCAACTGATGCTGATGGGACAGAAAATTGTACTAATGCACATGTATCTGTCCAAATAGGACTGAGAGATTGCAGGTAGAAAATGTTATTCTGTCAACAGAACAGGAGAAAAGATTTTAGGAGTCAATGTGTTTTGCCACTGTAGGCCAAGCCTCGAATATTTGCCTCAAGTTAGTCCCTCCCTTCAAGACAAATATTTAAAGGCAGGGACTTTCCAGAATCCTATCAAAATTGAAGAAGCTATTTGGATGAGAGACAAAACAAATTCACTCCTAGTCTTTTGTCAATGCCCATGTAATTATCACACACTTAAGTAGAACTAGTGCATACTTTGCAGTATTTAACATATTGAGTACTAGTCAATTACATCACCAAATATGTGTAATGGAGTTACAATCTTTACATACCAGCGAGGCCCTCCCCATATTGAGGTTTTGTGGTGAATGTCATTCCACGTGATGACATTTTGCATGCCCGTGGTCATGGAGGTACCGATGGTGAAGATAAGGCGCTGTTCAAAGGCTCGTCTGAGCAGACCCAGCACACGGTTCCCCTCAGGGCTATCAGGGAGGTAGGCCACGCGGTCAGTTCCTGGGTAACGCACACCTGGGTTTGGGTGCTCAGGCTGGACATGCCAAAAGAGAATAGAAATAACAATAAACAATTCAAAGAATATTTACTTTTTGACAACATTTGCTTTCAAAAAGGATGAAAACCAAATAGGTTTTCAGCAAAAAAGGGATGTGCTATAGATTTTACTCTTTTCTCATCATGGGTTTTGACTCTACCCAAAACAGTTGCATAATCAGTTTTGTTGTGTGAAGGAACCTGATTTAAAAATTTCATCATCACTGGCCTTTGTTAACCAGCTAGTCCTAGATGATTTTAGAAACGTTGTTTTACAACAGGATGTAATCTTGACAGAGGTAATCAATCTTATTGGAAGGAGATATGTTGTTTGCTTGAATGGCTCATAATTGGACAGGATATAGACTGAAAACTCTTTGTAAATTAAGTAGTAGTAAAAGTGTCATAAGTAACTCACCGCCTGAAGTCCAGGAGGGAAGCTGTAGATGATGCAGATACACCCATATCCTTCATGTCCAGGAAGCTCGATATCAGGGTCTCGCTCTACAATCATTGTACCATTTGCTGGCTGGTTACCGATTAACTGTCCATACACCAGTCGACACACAGGACAAGCCTTCTTCACTTTAAAGGCTTGGTCTAGGCAGGTGCGGCAGAAAGAGTGGCCACACCTCTCCAGCATGGTTCTGTCCACAATGTCCCCCATACAAATGGAGCAGGTGCTGTTGTCCTCTGCCTCACTGTGGGAGGACATATTAGGGTCCATGTCTTTTCTTTGAGATAACTCATGAAACATGGCACAAGCCTCTTCATCCGCAGGCTTCCTGAAGCGCTGTTGCTGCCTCTGGGAGCGCCGCGGTTGAGGAAGAGGAGGGGGCATCAAGCTTCCCTCTCCACCGTTTGGCTCCAGGACTCCAACACAGGGCAGTAGAGTCCTTTTTCTCTTTGGTCCCCCCTCCAGTTTGCTCATTTCTTTTCGGGCACAGCGGCATAAGTCAATGAAAGCTTTCCGCGTCTCGCTGGAGATGGGTTCATCCATCACACCAGCACCAGAGCTCCTGAAGCCTTCCACCGGCTGCAGCCTCACGGCACAGCAGCCCCCCCTCTCTCCTCGCCTAATGATACCAGCTCTCATCCCCTGCTTGTGCTGGAAGTCAATGAGCCAGGGGCGCCCCGCTGCAGCCAGGTAATCCCACACTGCCTGTGAAACCAGCACCTCGTCACTGCCCTGGCCCGCACGCACACTCATCTCATCAGACGAGACTGCACAGAAAGGACAGAACACATGTTTACAGCACAAGAATGCAAGTAATAGTACCACACAGAGCAAGCTGGATTCCATGTGTGAAAGGCGCAAATACAGATGGTTTATCAAAACGAACGAAACCATGTTACAATCAATGTCAAAACTCTAGTTATAGCTGAGTAATAAACTTGATATGTTCATAAGAGATGAAGAGTGGCTGGTGTTTGGCTGCATCACGTTAGCCTCATGCAGCAGGCAGCATCGCGGCAGATCAGCTGTTCACAAATGCACACTGTAAACAAAGGGAAACTAGAGCTACCGCCTATCCCTGAAAGGCTGAATTGTAACATATCTAAACACCATTATGACGACACAGTGATTCTACAGTTAATTTACCTCGTGATCCCATAAATTCCTTCAATTGCGAGTGAAGCGCCCTGTTGAACAGAAAACAGAGAGAAAAGATGAACAAGAGCTTGCGTAAACATAAGCCTCCAGTGCCGCGATGATGGGAGTCGACGGGTCTAACAATGATTTTATAGCTACATGAGCTCGACTTTTGTGCATTTATTGATGAAAATACGCCTCACCCTTTACCGTAGCTCGTCGCTACCTGTTAGGGAGGTTTATGGCGGGATTAAATAGCATCCATCGGAGAAGAAGGAGGCCTGTTCTCGCCCCTCGCTGCTGCAGCTTATCCGCGGAGCATTACTCTTTAGTAGTCAAGACATGGTATCCCAATGTACGCCCGTTTCATAATCTCCATATCGGCTTAAAATCTCATCAAGTCGTTCTCGATGCCACCAAACGCAACCCAGAGCAGCAGCTCGTCCCCGGTCTTGGCTGTTAGTCTTCCACGTAGCTTACGTCCTTGAGTTAGGCGTTACACAAAGTAAATAGCATTTTGACTTTCTTATCCGGCTCCCTCACGCAGGCTCTAAGATTGTTTGAGCCAGATAAACCTGACAGTTCTGGTATCTTCCGAGTGACAGCTTCCTTTCCTCCGTCATATAGGCTACAGTTAAAGCGCTCCTCATTAAAACAAGGTATTTGAGACCAGCCTAAAATGTGACCAGGAAGTTCGTCACTGCGCGCACAGGATTGGAGGATAACATGTTCTATGTTGGTGAGTGTTCTGGCAGTGAATCATACTTCGGTCGTGATTTAGAGCTTGACAAACACGATATGTGCACACAGCCTACATACAGGGAGTACCCACTCATTCAGTTGTCATGCAAATGAGTTTGGGGAATCTGTCCTTTGGCATTAATTTATAATAATTTGGCCCTCATACAAATAATGAAATATATTATTGTATGATAGATTTCATTATTTTTATGATGTCATGTTTCAGACATAAGGATTCCTTGATTTGAATGATTTGGAATAGGTATTGCCCTCCGTTGGTATAACTCAGGAAGAAATAATTTGCCCGAAACTAAGATAGATTCATGAAAACAAACCCTGACAGATACTTCTAGCCACAAGCGAGTTCTCATTACTTTACTACCAGTATTTATAATTTTAAGGTCATTTCTGGGCATATATATATATATATATATATATATATATATATATATATATATATATATATATATATATATATATATATATATATATATATATATATATTTATTTATTTATTTTTTGTACCAGCAGCCCCCAGACTGTAAATTCTAAGTTATTCAAAAGCTCATGCAAACTAAGGAAGCCCTCATTTTCTTTAAATAGACTTTGCTGATTTCATAGTATAATTGTCAGTAGCTGAGTCCATACAGCGTCTTGACTTCCCAACATGCTGTAATTTTACATTAAGTAGTAGTAGTATTAAGGTGTATTTGTCTGTTTCAAGCATAGACATTTATGTCTATGGTTTCAGACGTGAGGATTCCTTGATTTGAATGATTTGGAATAGGTATTGACCTCCGTCGATATAACTCAGGAAGAAATCATTTGCCCGAAACTAAGATAGATTCAGTGAAAGCAAACCCTGACAGATACTTCTAGCCACAAGCGAGTTCTCAATACTTTACTACCTTTATTTATAATTTTAAGGCAATTTCTGGGCCTGTTTTTAGTTATAATCTGTTAGAGTTTTCCTCTTTTGACAGCTACAATATGGCCGCCGAAATTGACACTGCAACAGTATCTAAGGTCCTCTAGCCTTTCCATATTGGGCTTTGCTCTCGCATCACGTATTAAAGACCGAAACTACGCGATACTACAGCAGAATATCGCACAATTTGTTAACTGTTTACGTTTCAATGAACGTAGTAGCCGGGTGAATCTGAACAAGGATTGAGTTTATTGACCAAAACGTGTCCCAACGCTGATAACTTATAAACACTATCAAAATGTAAGTCTTTGATTTGTTTTTTCATCTGTAGTGGTTAGCACGTTCCTCAAGTAGAGTAGGACAATCGGCTAACATTAGCTTACTGGCATAGCACACGCGTTAGCTTCAATACAGTCATAGTACAACGTGTTACTCACACCGAGAGAAGCTTTCGCGTTCATTAATGTACAATATACAGTTTATTCAGCCCATTGTGATCAAACACATGTCACTGATATAAACATATTCGTCTGTACTTCACTCACCAAAGCTCTATGATTAGCAAAGAAGCTAATGTCAATCACAGGTTAATGTTAGCAATGAAAAAGCGTGGTGTCATCATTAGCCTGGCAGATTACACTTGAGCTATTGGGGTAACTAACGTTCGCTGGAGCAAACAGGAAATATACCTGCAGTGATCCGTTGTAGAAATCGTTCATGTCTTTTTTAATATGATGAATAGATATGTATGGGAGTAAGTAGATTGGCTGTGCATGTGTTGATCTCTTGAAATAGTAATTGTAAAGTATGTTGGACCTCACCCCTTTGAGTATAATGAATGGTGAAGCTTTGCCCAGGTCTAACGTGAACTCAGGTGACCTTTGTACATAAAGTACACAACAGAGATAAAATATTCTGCCTGAATAATTGATTTTATTAAAAAAAATATATATATACAATATATATATATATATATATATATATATATATATATATATATATATATATATATATATATATATATATATATAAAATTTTGAAATGGATAATATTTTAGATTGTGTCATTGACTCTTTTCTATCAACAGGCATCCTGCACCAGCCAAATGGTATGACAGACGGGACGCAGTTTTTGTTGAGTTCTGTGTTGAAGACAGCAGAGATGTCAAAGTAAATTTTGACAAAAGCAAGCTGGATTTCAGGTGACATTTCATCTGCTACTTAAACATTTAATATTTGATAAAAAAAATAATTTTCATTTGTTCTCTGTCACAGCTGTGTTAGTGGAACAGATAATGTCAAACATCAAAATGAAGTTGAGCTTTTTGGAGAAATAGACCCAAAAGTATGTTCTTTAAATTATTATTTAGATGTTTATGTATTTGCCTGTATTGTATTCATATTGTCTTGTTTTCAGGAATCCAAGCACAGACGCACTGACAGGTCGGTCTTGTGTTGTATACGAAAGGCAGAACCAGGGAAAACATGGGTGCGACTAACCAAAGCTAAAGTGAAGGCAAGTCACTTTGTTTTTTACAGAAATGGCATAAGTTACTCAATAGTCCAGAAAAGGCCTCTTCAGTTGGAGGTTTAGAGATGAATTTCAAGGAGGTCCAAATAAAAAAATGCACTATAACTGAAAGAGAAAATGTAAAAAATGTGGAGTGTTTTTTCTAATGTCTTATGTTACAGTGCAACTGGTTGAGTGTTGATTTTAACAATTGGAAAGACTGGGAAAATGATTCGGATGAAGACTTGTCTGGGTTTGACAAATTTTCAGAGGTAAGTAAAGACATGATTAAAGGAATTGCACAGAAATGTACAGTGCTGAATGCAGATATTTTCAGATCATGAAAAACATGGGCGGGGATGACCTTGATATAGACGAGGTAAAATGATGTTTGTTAAATAGAATATGTAAAAAAAAAAAAAAAAAAAAAAGTTCAAATCTGACTTGTGTGTCTTTGATGCAGCATGAGTCTGGAGACAGTGATGATGACCGTAAGTATAGGCATTATTTCAGTTGTCTTTATGTGATTTATTTTTTTTATTTTTTTTAAAGCAACGCCGGGTGCCTAATAGCAGATGAGTCACTGCGAAGTCAGCTTTACATCATCTTGTTCAATTTTTCAGAATTACCTGACCTTGAGTAGACAAATAAGGATGCCGCCCCAGTAGTACGTAATTCACTTGGGTTGAAGAGACTTAGACATGAGATGGCAGCCGCTCCAGAGAAGATCTCCACTGTTTCAAAGAGAAACTGTTGAAGGGAGTGACTGTTGATACAGACTGCACTGAGGCCCTCTTGACGTACAGTGCTGTGCTTCGCTCTTCTGTTCTGCATGAACAACTCTGTTCAAATGAAAATGTTATTGTTCATTGACTTTAATGACTGTAATGGGACGTGCTGATGTCTTACACATGTTTTTTGCAATGTCAGATTATGTATTGTGATTCCGTATGAGAAAAAAAACAAACTCCAAAACACAATTTTCCAAAAACCCATTTTTAATGATAGTTTCCCCCTTTTCATGTTTGTATTGTAGATTGGACTTTGTGTTAATTTAAAAAGGGTTTTCAGTTGTATGTCATTATTTTACCGCAGTTTAACTTCAGTGAAATAAAACTTGCTTGTGCATCGTAAATATTGTGTTAAAACGTTGATAAACATTTTTGCTTGTAGACAACATGGGAGTCAGTTTGAGAGAGTACTGCATATTGTAGCAGGGCCATTTTCTTCCAAATGCTTTCATAATAAGGACCTCAATCCCTGTTTTCAGTGCAGTTTACAAATGGCTGTTGCTCACATATCACTAGATTTGTGTTACAATGTTCTATGTCTGAACTTGTGTTGCATTAGTCTGATGCTGTGGGAGTATGTTTGTAATAAACTGTCAGACCATTGAATTAACACTGGCCATGCATTTATCTTAAAATACACAGCCACAAGGGTTTGTGTGGCATAAAATTTTCAGCATTGAATCCTAATGTAATATTTCGACTTTTCATTTGCCGCAAAATAATTTATTTCCTTTGGAATAAAAACAAATAGGTTGTAGGTGTCCAGACATATCGACAGATCCTAAATTAAAGTGGGTAATTCCATATTGATTTCATTTTTGTTAAATATTTGTGTCATCTCCAGCTGTAGGCAGGCTCCAGCTTGTACATGTCAGCAGTCTGGGCCCAGCAAAACACTAGGCAAGCACCTTCTGGTAGTCACCCCCATAGACTAAACCTTGGGCTTAGACCCACAAAAGAAAGCTTTCTAAGGATGGTGGGAGTTGGGACGTGGTCAAACACAAAGAGCTGTACTGTACAAACATAAATTATTTTATATATATTTTTTAACTCATATAGTCTTAGACATAATAGTACCTGCAGAGAAATTTATTTATTCTTTTGTGTAAAATTTGATTATTGCAAAAAATTCAAAAGAGCAAGTTTGTCTAGTCTAGCCAGTAATGACTTTCAACAGTGCTGGCCAATGCAAACAGATGACAGAAACCAGCAGAACCAATAGTGCCACTCGTGTGAATAGAAAAACACTGAACTCATCACAATCTATTGAGTCTCTGCAGGCCGCCCCTCAGCTGCCCCGGTCAGCATCACACTCTCCCTCTTCCCTCATAACATTTGTGGCTTTATCCAGACTGAGCCCCCAAAACACACCAGGACACAATGTAAATGTCTGTCTAATCATTTCTGCTGCTATGGGCCACTGCAGCAATGGAGCAATGGAGAATTTACTGTAATGTCTGTACCTTTGATAACTTTGAATCATGTTAGATTTAAAATATAATTCAATTAAAAAAACTGAACCAAACCCATAAAGCACCTCTATGATGGAGCTCAGGTGCTGCCCACTACAGGCCCACAGCTGCTCTGTTTTCAGAATTGATATTGTGATTTCTCGAAGGGTTTGGGGAAAGTTATGAATGTGATTTTATTTGGATACACTTGACTAATATTCTCAAGTTTGCACTGCCATGAGGGAGGGTGTTGAATCAAACACTTTATGTGCACCTTTGCACCTGTTACAAATGTGTAGTTGGCTCTGTGCTGGATCTTTAGCCAGATCAGTAGGTGGGAGGGTAGTTCATTTTGTTTGGAGATGCAGTATTGTGTGTAACCCCTCCCCTGGTTGTAGTGGGGTTAGTGGGGCCCTGTGGTGTAATATAAAGGCCTCTGATCTCTCCCCTCTCTAGTATAGAGACCAAATGTCTGCATGGCATGCTTAATGTTATTGTACTGATCAGTAAAGGTGTGGCACAACCTTGTGACACATCTTCAGACAGAATTAGCTTTAGAGTTTTAGATTATAGATGTTTACAGATTTAAAGAGAAAATCAGCTTGACAGCATTTATAGTTAATTTTAGTTTTGTTTTACCAGTTGTATATCCTTGTCCCTATTTATTTTTAAGTTTTTGTTTGTTGCCATGATGTGGGAGTTCAGGTCCATGTCGTTCTGGAGGGCAGTTTTTGCTGAGTTTTATGGTACCATGTTCTTTGTTTTCTTTGGCCTTGGAGCTGCTCTGCGCTGGACCACTGGGCCTCACAATGTTCTGCATGTGGCCTTTTGCTTTGGGCTGGCAGCTGCCACTCTCATCCAGTCCATCGGCCACATCAGTGGGGGACACATCAACCCTGCTGTCACCTTTGCCTATTTGATCGGCTCTCAGATGTCCCTGTTTAGGGCTTTCTTCTACATCATAGCCCAGTGTCTGGGGGCCCTGGCCGGTGCTGCTGTCCTATATGGGGTCACTCCCACTAACATGAGGGGAAACCTGGCTCTCAATACGGTAAGACTTTCTAACAGCTTGGATTATGTAGTTTCTTTTCTGTCTGGTCTCATCCTGACCCTTTGGCTCCTGCAGCTGCAGCCAGGGATCAGCCTGGGAATGGCCACCACCATGGAGATCTTCCTCACGGTGCAGCTAGTCATCTGCATCTTCGCTGTGACCGATGAGAGGCGCAACGGCCGCCTAGGCTCTGCAGCACTGGCCATCGGTTTCTCTGTGCTCATGGGACATCTTCTTGGGGTGAGAACACAACACTAAATCATCCAGTTAGCTAAAAATCACCAGCATCAGGGTTAAATTAATTCCAGTCTTGTATAATGTAGATGTACTACACTGGAGCAGGCATGAACCCAGCAAGATCATTTGCCCCTGCAGTTCTGGTCAGAAACTTTGTCAACCATTGGGTAAGTTATTTTTTGTGTACAAATGATCTCATAATGTATTAAAGAAGCCTGGCGTAAACTGTGCTTGTGCCTGTGTTGCTGCAGGTGTACTGGGTGGGGCCGATGATCGGAGGGGCCATAGGAGCTCTGGTGTATGACTTCATGCTGTTTCCTCGTATGCGCGGTCTGTCTGAGAGGCTGGCCACACTGAAGGGTATTAGACCTCCAGAGGCACAGGGGCAGCCAGACACCAGAGGAGAGCCCATTGAGCTCAAGACCCAGGCTCTATAAACCTTTACAGGACAAGTGCATCCTAAACCTGAACAGAATTTACAATACCTCCTCCAAAAGTCTCAGTCTGCAACCCACCACAGGACCATCCTGGGGCAGGGGCCACACCTCTGGACGACCAGCCTCTCTCCTCCAGCCACATGGAAACAGTGGTTTGACAAAGACTTGCCCATTGTGGTTGAGCATATCACGGGCTTGTGTGATTTTTTATTTTTTATGTTTGCTCCCCTTTTGTATTCTGAGTGAAACAGTAGAGCAGTAACCTTCTGCATGATGCTTATTGATCATATTTGACTTATCTGTTTTAATGAACTTTGGGTAAATTATATGTGCTCTAGACAATTTTGGCAAATGTTTGTTGCGTTTGTGTGAGGAAACCATATGTGTGTCACTTTTTTGTGCATGTTTGTGTGCTTATTCATTTTAATTTTTTATTATTTATTTAAGTTTTACGCTCCAGGGGATAAATCTTTGATCTAGTTATAATATTTCTTATGAACATAATACATTATCACCTTATTTCCATGCTCTGACATTAGCCTTGGGCCACATTCTTTGAGATGTATATAAAAACTGGGCTATTACAGTTTAAACTGTTTTTTGTTCAAATCAACTTTGCTTTTCATTTGATTTTAGTTTTTCTCTTTTAGTGCAGCACTTTTACAGATGTACAGGTGTGGATCTAGTGTGCATTTCTTCTGTTTGTCTTCACATCAACATTTTAATTAATTTACTTTGTTTGAAAATATGAATGTGTCTGTGGCTCACAGTAACAAACGTCTGGTTTGTTTAACGAGCCCAGAAACCTTAACTGTTAAAGAATGAGAGAATGAAATGATACATTTATTTCCCCCCTTGTTTACATGGCAGCGATCTAGTGAGCCTATTAAGAAACATGTGCTCCCTCTGCTTCTCTTAGTGTGATGTGTTTGAGCAGTGGTTTTAGTGTGATGTTGAAATGTGCTTTGTAAAAGACTTTGATGTACAGTGTAAAATCTTCTTTTCTATGAACTGACATTGGATGAATAGTGTACTTGATTGACATACTTTGCGGACCTTCTGGCTGTCAGAGGGGAGAGATGCCTCTAATTACACATTAAGGTGCTTGGCTGATCTTCACCTTCACAATGATGTATTATTTTTATATGTAAAGAAAACGCTATGTTTCTAACTTCCTTCTCTGTTTTATTTAATGTTACTGTACAGCATGATTTTTACACACAAACAAAACAACAGTACCAACCATAGACTTCTTTATACAGAATATGGGACCAACATATCCCCCAAGGCCCATTTTAATGTGAGCCACGGGACATTTCAATAAACAAAAACTTCACAAAGCTATTTTTGTATTCATCAAATTAGAGGAGTTATACAGCCAACATTTTCATATGTAAAATAAACATGACGGCAAAAAAAATTGGAAAAGCCAGATTAACAAAGCAACTACCGGTATATACATTTTTAAGAAACCAGTGCAAAAGCATACATATTAGTACTCCACTTACAGATCATTTTACAAGTTAAGGTCCTCAAAAACTGAACAGAACAAACAAAACTGAACAAAATTATATCTTAAATGAATAAAAAGAAAAACATTTCTTTTAGAGCTTAATAAAAAACACCTCAGGTTGTAACAGACATACCAGAACAATACTGGAACAATAACACAACAAGTTATCCTTTGATTTATGCACTAGTCTAGCACTTTTATAGATATGTCTACAGAGAAAGTATCCATGTTCTTTGGTATACTCTTGTCAAATACTTTCCCTGTTTCTATTTTGAGAAAAATAGCTGAAAAAGAACATTGTATAAATATATGGTCTGTCATGCTTAGTGAAGAAAATTATCATGTAATTTCTCAGACCCTGCACCATCAGAATAACTTTTAATGAGAAAGAGACAGATGTAGCCAAACAACAAGGCCATTCAGTTTTTACCCAACCTAGTTTGTCCATTATTGTATCAGCAACACAATTTATAAGTAAGTCATAACTAAAACAGAACTTACTTTAGGGCCAGTAACGCCATGCCGTGTTTTCCTATTTACATGTTCTTATGTTGGTCCAAGAAACCAAATCCCTTTTCACAGTCAGGGGGCATTGTCCATTGTTAGATCAGAAAGAAAATCACCAAAATCTCCCAAATCCATTTTAGTACTGTCTGACCTGAGGAAGAAACAGACAGGCATTCAATTTACAAATTACTTGCTTTTTTTCCTTTTTTAATTATTATTATTTTTTTTTTACACAAAATAATATTAGAACCCATCATAAGACCTTACTGCAGAGTATAAAAACATACCTAAATAAATATTCAAATTTTTACACATTGGTGATCGTTACAACTGAAATAACTTAAATAGGGAAACTGGATTTGTCAGTTATGTAATAGCTCATATAAATTTGGCAAAGGTAATTAACTGCCCTGAACCCCCAAGCAATGTTTGGAATGAGGATAGTTTGAGACTTACATGTTAAAGGCAACTTGTTGGTCACTAAGTGCTAAACTGGGATCCCTGAAATACACAATTTATGTCAAAAGTTACATAAAAATTCAAATCACCTTGATATTTGTGAAAGTGTATTATTTCAGCTACAACTGAGTAGCTCCTAGACAGCTCTTTCAAAATAGCAGTCGCTTCAAATCTTGTCTAAGAATATATTTCTTGAGCATCTTTTTTTTACACAAGAGGCAAGAGGCGTTCCACAACTTGCCACTCAGAGAGCAAGCACTGAGCTCATATTAGCACGACCTTATTTCTCTTCTCAAGGCTCAACTTTTATATCAAAACTACAAAACACAAATCCTAAACACAATGATCAGCGATCAACAAATGATAAGGTAAGACTGTCCACTTTAAGACTATGCATTTTAAACATTATACAGGGGTCTTTCACTTAAAAGCTAATTAAACACAAAAGCAAGTGTTTTACAAGGCCTTACATGTAAATGGGGTCCGGACAGTTTGGAGAATACTGTGCAATCATGGAGACTGGATTTTGAGCAGAGTTAGAGTCCCTATACACACAAATATATACCTTAATATTATGAACAACTTACTAGAATATCTCAAATAATTTCATAATTAAAGATTCATTAAAGGTGTACTGTTTAACTTTTCTGGCGGAGCAGTGCAACTGCTTGTTTCCGTGGAGATGTCTTTGCTCTGCATGGAATTTTCTACAGCACGGCATTCCAAGGACAAGCACTACAAGGCCAAGTTATAGGTCAGATCTGTGGAGAGGTGACTATGCTGATGATGAGAATGCATGTTTTTAAGGTATTTACAGACAAAAATATCTGTAATTTACTTAATGTTAGGTAGTTTTATGGCATCCTGTGGAACATTACAGGCAAAGCAGTAACATCTCCATGGAGACATTTAGGTGGCAGACCCTCTACCTGAAAAGTTGCATAGCGCACCTTTAACTAAAATCAACTAACGCACTGCTGAAAGACTTACAAAGGGTAGGGCTCAGGGCTGCTCAGAGTTGGAGCGGGTCTCATAATGTTTTGGTTTGAAGAGCCATTCCTAATAACAAAGACACAACTGTATCACTCTTTACAATGATGATTATTATTTAAAACTATTAACAGTAAATAGAGCCTTACATGTCTGAAGGTTGTGCCACAGTGACCAACTGGACTGGGATGTAACCTGAGCCAGCAGCCTTTGCAGGTCCTGTTTCATCAAATAAACAATATAAAATTATTTGGCAATTGAAACATGCTTTGTGCTTTGTGCTGCATTTTATGAGAGGTCTTACCTATGTAGTACTTTTTAAAAACGTTTTTTGAAATATTGGGATACAGATATGTTAAATAGTTGATGTCAATGATGCGGTTTCCAAGGCCACTGATTTCCAGGTCTTTTTTGCTGAAAGGCATTATATTTTGCACCTTTGGAACTCCATCTAGGGGAATTGGAAAATATTCAAACTGCAGTCATTTTAAGATTTTTTTTAAAGAATAAACTTTAAAATAAACTGGTGATTTCCTCACTTTCAGAGACAGCAACATAGGCGATAGTAATGGCTCCAATCTCTGAGTCACTGAAGCGCAGGAGGAATGTGCCACCTGGTCGGTCTTTGAGGATTACATGTAAGTGCTGCTTCCCAATAAAGCCAAAAATCAACCTGGACAAATAAGAATAGTAATTTTTTAATAACTAAAGTCACCTCAAATAACTAAGGCTAAAATAAAGATGCACCTGTCGCTCCAGTAAGAGTGAAGGTGCTTTTTGGTCAGCTCCATCACTCCCTCAAACCACTGCCAGAAAGTGAAGGACCGTCCTGGAAGTGTTTCCTGAAAACAAACATATATATAATTAAGTTATATTTGTATAGTATTACATGCAAGTGGTCATACATTGCTTTTGCTTCTTTCCCTTATTTTCCATTAAACAATTGTACAGAAATGTCAGACACCTCAAGCTATTGTTTTCAAATTATGACTTTATTTGATGGGAAGATTACATAATAAAGGCTGTACCTTGTTGAACTGGGACCAGGACACAAACATGTTGCTAAAGTCACAGATGTCGTGTTTGTCAAAGATCTTTTGAGCCAGAAACAGTAGGTTGTAGTCGTTCAGAGACTGCTGAGTGTTCACCTCCGATGTGAACTTCACATTCAGTGTGTTACACATCTGTCTCCATGGCACCCGGTCTGGGACCACGAATGGCACCCTGTCCTAAAGCGCAACAAGGACATTGTGAAAAAATTGTGAAAAACAATATTATTGTATCTATATGTAAATGCAAGCTCATGATGTTATTGAGGAAGAAAACAAGATGTTTCTTGGGGGCCTAAATTCAGAAATTGCTTCAATAATCTTTCATGTCATTGCTACAACCTCCATCATGAGCATCTAAAATGTAAAACTGTACAGTTTATAAAACAAGATGAGGACTGAACCCGAAACATGCTGAGTAAATAATATTTTTTGTCTTAGTAGAAGAAAATACACAAAGAATGGGCATTCAACTTTCAACTGGGTCCTAGCGGCTGATGGGACTATGTGCATATGCACACTGTGCCTCCACCAAGAAAACTGTATACCTGTAAATATGTATTTTTCTCACAAATTATTAAGAGTGATGCTGCACCTAAACAGTGTCACAATTTGACAAGCCTAGATTCCAGAAAGTTTTTGGGGAAAAAAAATTATAACATGTTGAGTGTTTTTGTTTTTTCAAACAAACTACAAAAATAATTCTCACTGGTTCTGCAAAAGCACAGTCCCAGATAACTGTGGCCATAGCATTGATGTCTTGACTGCCGTGAACAATGACCACTATTGGCACCGAAATTACCTGTGAAAATCCAAAAGACATAAAATAATTAGATTTTAATCACTGTGCTGGAGAAATAATTATGGAAGGAACAGTTCAGATAATAAACAAAGAAAATGCTCAGACATGTATGCTGTAGGGGTAGTCACAGCCAGTAACGTGGATCTCTCCAGAAAACAGCAAAGCAAACTTCTCCTCTGTCACACACTCCGAGCCCTTTCTCTCTGCCCTCTTGATCTTTTTGATGGACTGTTGAATCAAAGATTAATTCAGGTATATAAGCATAACTTAACAATAATAATATAAGTTTACAATGTAAGGTGCATCCTACCATATTTCTGAAGGCAGCCGATGTGGATTTCGTGGTTGTATTGTGCTCCAGGATAGCTGTGTGGTTCATCAGCTCTCCAACATTATCACTAAGTAAAAAGAATCAAAATAAAATATCATTAACAAAACTGTCATAAGAAAAAAGGGCTAAACAAAAACGTAATTACACAGTCTATGTATTTATTAAATGATCTGAATAAGGCTGCTTTGGTCCTGGTTTAGTCTCACTTTTTAGTCACTTTTTTAGTCTCACATTTGAATTAGTTACTCATTCCTCAGTAACTCCATGAACTGTTTTATTAGTAGCCATTTTGTAGAACTGTATTCAGTGTATTCATGTTTAATCCTTGTGCTAATATTCTTGCTGTTAATAGTGTTTCTGAAGATTGCATTATACACAATATACAAAACATTTATTCCAAACCAAAGTATTGATTTCTGTTTGCATTGTGGTATTGTGTTTCTCACCTGAGTAAGCCCCCTTGGCCCAGCCCTCGAGCCTGCTGTTCATTGATAATCTGCACCTTTAACATGGCAGGTTTTCCTGGAGCAATCTTATCCCCAAACAGATATCGCACAGATGCAGAGAATTTAGACTGTGTTTTGATGACCTGCGGAGGCTGCTTTTCAATAACCAGAGAGCTGTGACAGACAGGGAAAAGTGTAAATAAAAATCTCCAAATATATTAAAAGTTGTTGTTTTTGTATTAAGTTGTTTTATTAAGAGTTGTTACCTCTGGACTAGGACAGTGAGTAGAGAGGTCAGTTTCTCTGTTAGGCCCACGATTGTTGGATCTCCGACCAAAAATACCTCTTGACGCAGCTTTGCATTCATCTCCAGTAACTGCTCAAACCTGCACACAAGATGTACAAAATGAAATTAGCTAATGAAAATAGCTGTGTGTATGTGTGACTTAGCTGATGTTTCACATCTGTACTGCTTTACTTGCCGTCTCAGTCCATTAAACGTCTCAGTCAATTAAACATATACAAACATATAAAAATGCGGTAAACCACGAGTGTTGTAGCATCATAAAATGCAGTCAGTTCACTACTCATTATTAAAATATTGAGTCTCTATAACTTTAACACAACAAGTTAACTACGTTTGTTAGAAAAAGTCCTGACCCAGCCTGCAGGGGGTGTAGGTTGTCGTCAAAGGGGTGGCCAATGGCCGCTTTGTGCTGCTCGTAGCACCAGGTCTTGAGTTTGGAAATGAGGTCCAGCTGGTACTGCTCCAGTCTTTCCAAACACTCCTGGAGGAGCTGGACTCTGGTCTAAACAAACATCAACAGTTCTAGATATCATACTTTGTCATATTTAATATTTATTTGAATGGACTTGTTCGGCTTCTCACCATCGCCATAGAGTGCAGACTGTACTTTTTCTGCTGGATACAAATACGAAGGTTTTTCTGTGGATCTTCACTGGAAGGATCTAGACCATTCTGCACCACAGACCCTAATCCACAACAACTTTCATATTTATTAAAATCACATAAACAATACACAGCACTACTACTTTATGTATGTATGTACCAATGTTAGAATTAGTTATGTATTAGTTTATTATTTTGCAGAGCTTCTCCTCTGCTCTTATAATTTACAATGCACTTACTAGGATCAGGAAGGGCATTTTGATTAATACCAAAATATTATTCATTAACTCACAGAAATCTTACCTTGTGGAGCCATTGCTTCAAATTTTTCCTGATCCAGGTTGAGTTCTTCCTGTAGCACGTGAATCTTCTGCCGGATGTCTTGGATCTCCACCACTTTGTTGACTAGTTGGTCCATGGTGATCTCCGGAGCTGTGGGCTTCTGCTGATACTGGGGGCATGAGATCTGTGGGTACTGAAAGCATCACGTTTGTGAGAATTAGCCACAAAAAGTAATCTAAATAAATAAATTTATGTCTAAATCTCACATTGCTGAGCAGAAACTGTTCTTTCCTGAGGATGTCTCTAACCAATATTCCAAACTCTAGAGGTCGTGGCTGGAATACACCTGTAAATAAGCAGTTTAAGTACAGTAATGGTTTCCTGAGTAGTATATATTATGTTAATGTGTAACTTCCCTGTATCTATATAATGTGTAATCTGCATGAAATCCATATGTGAGCACTCATTATTCACATTCAACAAGACTCATTCCAAGTCGCAATCTTATTTTCATGTGATAAACCAACATGGTAAAATTGTAGTGTTTTTATATACTGTGTACTTTGTCTTGTTCGGATCCATAACTGATATAAAGTAGGTTTTGTCTGTTACTATAAAGCTTCTGATCAAACTGATGTAGTGCTATGCATTAGGCTTTGCAATTACAATCCAATTATAACTCCTTTCAGCTGTAACATTATTGACCAAAATTTTGAAGCAGCACACACTGTGAACAACTGTTTAGAAAATCCATGGGTTGTTACACACAGCATAAGCAGTGACTCAGCACCTGGACATCGGACCGTTGATTTGGAAATCACACTGACTACATCCTCTGCAAAAACTCTAGGAAATGCTATTAAAGCTCGATAAGTACTGTTTCCTTTGTTATACCAAGAATCAAGCTTTTTGTGACTGTCAGGAATACTCTGTGGGGCACCTATCAGTCTTATACACTAAAAAAGACAATTGTGACATGGTTAAATGTTCAGAGAAGTAGATTTTATGAAACAGGTCTCCTTCAATGGGAAACACTGCCAATGCATACCAGAGTTTTGCTGATCTGTCTGAGCTTCATCTTGTCCACTATACTACTGTTCTGCTCGGAGATGATTTGAAGCAGGTTGATCACTTGGTCCAGCTGGTATTTGGCCCGAGCCTCCAGCTCAGTTTTGCCAGGCTCAAAGTCCTCCCTACAAATCAACAAACACATACACAATAATTTACACTGATGCTACATACACTGTACATTATTGTCATATTATTATCTGTGTATACGGTTTCCCACCAGATCTGTTGCTCGATCCAATCTGCGAGAAAGTGCCGCACATCGATGGGGAAAGTGGAGGGGTACAGATCGTTCACCATCTCGTGGGACAGAAACTGGAAGAGCTGGGTCATCTGAGACCACTGCGCCATGGTCACTCACAGTTAACAATGCTGAAACACAAGTCAGGTTCAAATTAGGCCAACTGGATGTGTTTTTATAGTTTAAGAAGTTACCTTTTGGGTGCTTCAGTTTTTTCTTTTTTTTTTCTTTTTTTGCATTACCTTGTTAGACAGTATTTAATGGATCAATAATGTGCACATTTTCTTTCAAGATTATTACAAAAACTATATATATATATATATATATATATATATATATATATATATATATATATATATATATATATACAAATGATACAAATATATAATAAAAAAAAAACATCTATAAGCAATAGCAACTTGAATAACATTTGGTGAAATTTACTAGTGCTGTGATGGTACCCCATACTAAAGCACATGAACACTTTTAGTTCACAGACAATAGTTTGATTCTTTGTTAATTAAGTGAACTTAATTAACTTTGAAAACAGTTGTTTAAAACCTTTTTTTGTTGTTTTCATCACTGCTTTAATATACAATGAGGCTTCAGACCATCAAGGGGTGCAATGTACTTCTCTATTCCCACAACATACTGGTGCCAACTAGCATAACTGAACAAGCAACTAAAACTGGATAAACTGAGAACTATGAATTACAATTGATACATTTTATTTGCCTGTTGTCTGCCTGGAGCATGCACTAACAGCACACAGTGAAATGAGTTTAGTATCAGTTAAAATAACATCCTGGCAGAGTAATCTCAGAGCCACATCTGACAGGGCACATTGAGCAACTTTTGGTTTCTGTTGAATCACGCTTCTGTTCACCTTGTTTGCAGCAGAAAATGCAAGTAAAAAGAGAAACCAAATTCCAAATAAAATAATTTCTTCTAGTAAAATCACAGGGAGCACCTAGCTGGTACAACATACATCAGTAAAATTGTGCATACACTACAGCTTGTCTAAGCAATGTGTACTTTAGAGTGACAGTTTTGGAGAACTAATCATTCACTCCATTCCAAAACATGTTGACGCATGTGTTAAAGAATAGCAGCTAAGATATAAATAGTTAACAAGAATGCCCTGCTTTGAAGTCCCGTTTTGTCTTAAACTTTCACATTTGTTACAGTGAAGCCCTATAGTTAAACACAACATGACTGCAGTAGACACTTCACAGCTAGCTACATGTTATCTAGCCCTCATCTCATCTGTAGAGAGCAGATAGGAAACAGCTTATTTCACAGTTTGTACCAGCAGACAAGTCAGAGGAAAACAGTGTAAACTATGTTAGATCATTATTTGTGACCTATTTTTATTCAGAGATCGAACAATGTGCGATGCTCCATGTCATACTGTTTTGGTTGGTCACTATCCACTGTAAATTTGTTAAATGGCAAGTCCAAGTGCATTTTATAATGCAGTGGCATTTGGTTACTTGGGGAAAAGCTTCTAACATAATAATAAGCACAGCATAAACCACAATCACGTTTTTTTCTTCACTTCCTCTTGATTCCAGCAAATATCTTACTTCAGAGACTGTACATAGAGACAAGAAGGAGGATGTGGGCTATTATGCATCTCAGACCTTGATGAAAACAGCTGAACTAAAAATATGAATGTACTAAAAGCACACAAAATGAGTCAAGACAAATCTAGAAGCATTTTGTAGCCTTTTGGATCATGCAAAGATGCTGGTCTAGTTTGATACTGAATGGGCTCCAATCCAAATGAGTAGCCCACCGTTAAGGGCTCAAACCTGAATAAAAAGCATTCAGTTTAAATTATTTATGGCTGTTGGTGTAATCTCACATTTGTACAGAAGTGGTCCATAGTAACATCATTGTCTCCCCAAAATGGTAGCCTGTTGCCTTTATTACAACTCTATAGTTTGTTAAAATCTCACCAGCCAAGCACAAATGGACTTCACACGTGGGACTACAAAGCGATGGTCCTGCATCAACATGTCTGTTTGCTATAACTGGATGCATTTCAACATTCAAGAACTGGTCATTTTATACACGTATTCTTTAATCAAACTACACTCCAATGAAATTACACTATAAACAAATGTTACTACAGTAGCTTCCCAAATACATTAAGAAATAGCAGATTATGCAATGGACACTCCCAGGACTCAGCATAGTAATTTAATAATAATAATGAAACTGACACAATCTATTATATAAATTTCACTTTAAATAAACCTAAACGTAAAGGACAATTATATGATTGCCCATTTGATCGCATTTAATCAGCTTGGAGACAGTACAAAATAGGCTTCTACAGGCCGCACGTCCTGCTTTGTTTATTTTGTAAATGGAATCATGTCAACAACAGGAATGACGCATCTCCTGACATGGCAGCTATAAAACACATCCACCGCCTTAAATATAATTATAATACTATTACAACAAGAAAATACACTTACTTTCCGTGTGCTGGATAACAAAACGTATAGTTGGCTCGTCTCTTTCTTCTAATATGGCTGGTACGCAAACTTTCAGTTATTGATATTTCCGTGTCCCATAATTCAGTTCGCCCCAGATGTCGTCTCTCAGGGATGTGGCTGAGTAAAGTCCAAAAGAAAGTTAGTCTGACCACGTAACAGCTTTCGTGAGGCCACTGAAAACTTTTCAGTTTTCTAGATTACTTGCTCACTTCCCTTTTGCGCACGGCGATCCGAGGACTTTATTTCCTGACCAAGACTCAAATTTACTAAACGAAACTAATAAGCGATAGTTTATAAAGAGCGGACTCGAGATCCTGTAAAAAGCTTTTGAGAAAGAAAATATGTTTCAACAGAGGTAATTTAGGCTCTGAAATCGCCACCTGAAACAACCAAAGTACCTAGGATATACTTCCACAGAAGCGGAGGCGGAGTGACGTTTCCACACGATAGCAAAACTTCCAGTAATCTGTGATCTGAGCTGACATCTGATCCAACCGTATCAGGACCGAGCACTTAGAGGCACTTATGAAGACCACCACGTGTTAAATGTAAACCACTGCACTGTGTGCCATTAAGTACTAGGACTTTTAGTAAGCATGACATCAGAATTTAAAAGTGTGTTCAAATTGCGCGTAAACAAGAGATCGAATCCGAAACTAAACGGGCTACAGCAGGGCCAATCCTGTGTCAACCTAAACGTCCAGCAGGGGGCACACACGCAGCATTCTTTTTCCTTTAACAAGCAACAACACTGCTACAGAATGTACAGTCCCTGACAAAAGTCTTGTCGTTTATCCATTTTGTAGAAACAAAAGCTTATAACCTGACTTTAAATTAATCAATTGGTTTTAGAAATGTCTCATATGAAAGCTAAAACCCTCCCAAATTATGCTCAATATACTAAAATAAATTTGCTTCGCTGAAGAAAGATTGATCATTTAATGAACACAGAAAGGTCAGATTTGGCAAGACAAAAGTTTTGTTGCCTACAGAAAATTGAACAAATAATTTACTTCAAATACACAAATATGTTGCATAACGTCAGTGAATTAAGTAGTGGTGCTGTGAGATCCATATTTAAGATCTTGTATGACTTCCATGAGCTTGAAGGACTGCATCCATGCGGTTCGACAGTGATTCATACAATTTGTTGATGAAGTCATCAGGAATAGCAAAGAAAGCGTCTTACATGCCTCCCAGAGTTCATCAAGATTCTTTGGTTTTGCCTTCCATGCTTCCTCTTTCATTCTACCCCAGACATGCTCAATGATGTTCATGTCTGGTGACTGGGCTGGCCAGTCCTGGAGCACCTTGAGCTTCTTCACCTTGAGAAACTTTGATGTAGAGATAGAAGTATGCGATGGAGCACCATCCTGCTGCAAAATTTGACCCCTTTTATGATTGGGAATGTAAGAGGTAGCCAATACTTCTTGATATTTTAGGCTATTGATATTGCCTTCCACCCTGCAAATGTCTCGCACACCCCCATACTGGATGTAACCCCAGACCATGATTTTTCCACCACCAAACTTAACTGTTTTCTGGGTGAATCTTGGATCCATGTGGGCTCCAGTAGGTCTCCTGCAATATTTGTGGCGGCTGTGATGTAATTCAGGCGAGGATTCATCTGAGAAATCCACCTTCTGCCACTTTACCAGTGTCCATCCTTTTAGCAGGCTGTGGGCCTTGGCAAATGCCACACGGTTTTTTAATTGCCTTTTGTTTAGTGCTGTTTTCTGTGCACTGATTCGACCATGGAGGCCATTTCGAGACAGAATTCTACAAACTGTTCTGGTTGACACAGGGACTTGAGGTGACCGGGCCTGGTGGAGCTCTGCTGCAGTGGAAAAGGGGCTGGCCGTGGATTTTTGAATCAACAAACGGTCCTCCCGAGCAGTTGTCTTGCGGGGTCTGCCGGACCTGGGCTTGTCAAAAACATCTCCAGTCATTTCAGATCTTTTTCTTATTCTTTGTACTTGACGCTGAGACACATTGAAGGTGTCAGCCACCTCAGCAGTGGATCTGGTCTTCAGCCTCTTGATAATTAATGCTTTGGTCTCAGGGTGGATCTTAGGCATGTTGTCAGAGGTCAAGTTGCAGTTGATGTGAAGGTCTGGTGTGCTGGAGTTCTTTTTATACACACCCACTAATTGATTGATCAGTAACTGATCACAGGTGAGGCTGTAATCTAGGATTGAGTGCCTCATATGACAAGTCGACAAGACTTTTGTCTTGCCAAAATCTGACCTTTCTGTGTTCATTGAATGATCAATCTTTCTTCAGTGAAGCAAATTTATTTTAGTATATTGAGCATAATTTGGGAGGGTTTTAGCTTTCATATGAGACATTTCTAAAACCAATCGATTAATTTAAAGTCAGGTCATAAGCTTTTGTTTCTACAAAATGGATAAGACTTTTGTCAGGGACTGTACACTGCTCGAAAAAAAAAAATAAAGGAACACTTTGAAAACACATCAGATCTCAATGTGAAACAAAACTAAAGGATGCCACCTCCTAATGGAAATGAACAGCAGGTGCACTAGAGTGAGAACAATGACACAACCTCTAAAACAGAACTGGTTTTGCATATGTAGATTATTTCAGATTTCTCCCTCTTAGTCTTTTTTGGATTTGGATTTTCCACTGCTGCCCTACAGAAGTTGCATGGATTGTCCAACTTCTCCAGAATGGCACACCCGGATGTGCACAATCTCCAGATCATGGAGGAGGCTTCGGGAGACAGGTAGTTGCTCTAGGGGAGGTGGGCAGGGCTGTAGAAGGTCCTCAACCCATCAGCAGGACGAATGTTTGCTCCTTTGTGCAAGGAGGAACAGGCTGAGCATTGCCAGTGCGCTACAGAATGACCTCCAAACACTCCAGGCCACTAGTGTGAATGTCTCTGCCCAAACACTCAGAAACAGACTTCATGAGGGAGGCTGAAGGCATCACGTCCTGTAGTGGGCTCTGTGCCCACTGCCCAGCACTGTGGAGTTCCATTGATATTTGCTAGACCACAACAGAATTGGCGAGTCCGCCACTGGTGCCCTGTCCCTTTCACAGATGAGAGCAGGTTCACCCTGAGCAACCTGTGATAGACATGAAATAGTGCCGGCAAGAAAATGGCTGTAGGTCCTGGGTTCCTCCTGATGCACGACAATGCCTGGCCTTGTGTGAAAAAAGTCTGTAGGCAAAACCTGGAAGATAAAGGGATTGATACAGTTGAATGGCCCTCATGATCACCTGACTTAAACCTGATAGAACATCTCTGGGACATTATGTTTGGGTCCATCAGATGCTGCCAGGTTGCTCCTCAGACTATACAGGAGCAAGACACAAGACACTATCCGTCGTCTCATTAGGAACGAGCCACGACTATGTCAAACATGCACACAAGCACGTGAGTAAATATTGTAAGTAGCACCCGAAAATGTGTCGATATTATAGTAGCTTTCTCTAATGTGAGATATTCTTGTCTTTTTAGTGAGTGCTGCTGGTGGCCACTTGGGGGCGTCCTCCACCTTCGCGTCTGTGCAGTCTTCAGCAGTAGCTGCGGTGGTCTGTTTGACATGACATCCCAGCAGAGCAACGTGAAACAATACAGACACCAACACAAGGCTCACTAAAAACATCCATTCTCAAATAGCTGCTTCTAAATTTGGATGACAAACAGGAGGTTGGCGGTTCGACTCTCGACATAAACATCTCTGTTCGACCCACTGACGAACTGGCTGGCAGTGCAATTCTTCCCACAGATGAATGGTGTTGTTGTGACCTTGGGCAAGACACTTTACCCACCTCACCTCCAGTGTCTGTGTACATTTCTGTATGAATGTGTGTGGTTCCTTGATGACCACGTTGATTGCCTTGGGAATGCAAAAGTGCAATATAAAGATAGATTTAAGATTTAAATGTCGAATCGATTTTTTATCACTTTGGCCTACTTATTTTTAATCAAATACTAGTGTGAAGTGAAAGAGGGGGAAGCTTAGTCCAATAGTTCATTGGGACATTCCACCTGTCACTTCTCATTTCCAGCCCATTTTGAGTGACCTGTCCAACACAAACAATGCAGCTGCTCCAGAAATGTATAGAGGAGTCATTGAGTCCACATGGGTTTTATGCATTCATATAATGGACTCTCTCATGTGTTTCAACTTTGGTTCAATGATCAGATATAGGCTATATTTTATTCATGTTTAGAACTGCACATTATTCTCACCCAATTTAACAAATCTGGTTTAGGCAGGTAGTTATTAAAGGTGCACAGTGTAACTTTTCAGGTGGTGTACCCTCCACCAAAAAAGTTACACAGTCTACCTTTAATTATATAGAGGTTTAATATTATCTGTCACTTCTAGAAGAATGAATAGAAAAGGAAAGGAAGAAAAAATAACTCTAAATAAGCAGTAGTTGTGATTACTGAAAGTCTCTATCTGAATTACAGGTTTTAGAAATACTTTGTCATACTTTCTTACATAGATTTATTTATTATTATTTTATTATTTATTTTTGCTAATTGAATGGACTATATGTTGCAGTAAGGGCAGTTTTGTTCACATTAATAACTCATTCAATTAACATCAAGGTCCCTGTTGTGGCATGTTTTTAAGGTTTGAATCACTGTGATTTATAGACTTTGTTTCTTTAGATTTGGCCCCATAAGTCCCCTGTCATCACTTCGCTTTACTGTAGTCCTTAACTTGAAGTGGATGTCCGTTTGGAGGATTATGCACTATAGTATCCTGCCCCACATCATTATAGCTTCCAGGGGCCAATCTCTAATCTTCACGCACATTTTTAGTGGACAGGTCATCTGACAAAAACACACAAGATTAACACATTCTCCACACTCTGAACATGCGTGTACCTCTTCACACTTTGCTAATGCCATTACCACAACATGTGCACTTCTGTCATCATTTCTCGGGGTCCTCTTAGGTAAAGGGCCCTCGGTGCAAGCTGTGGAAACATCTGGAAGCGATACAGCCGCACGGCCTATCTGTGGGAGCGGGGCTGGGAGGTTGCATGCTGGATGGGGGGGTTGGAGGCGGGCTGGTTGCTGCTTTGGCCCTGGGGGTGCGTGTGTCCCTGACTTCAAAATAGACTTGATTGCTAACAGCTGGCAGTCCTAACTCACCAGTGTCAGAGTGCTCCTCTCATGTCAGCCCTGTCAGTATCAAGGCCCGGGCAGCACAGGCAACCGCTCCAGGTATGACCGCCCAGAGCCTGCACAATCACATTCACACGATGACCTTTTCCAACCAAGGTCCTCACCATAAATATATTCAACTTTTTGTCAAGAGCACCACAAACATGCATGTTGACAACAAACAGAGAAGCATGTAGACTCTTGAAGGTGATGGTGACTGGGTGTGAGCTGCTACTGTATGGTCTAAAATTAAGATTCACACAATTCTAGCTAGTTGTTTTGTCTCTTCCACTCTTGTCACAGTTAATTCCACTTTATGATAACTTCACCATAATTAGCCTTAAACATTTCTAGTGGAGGGTTTGCTACCTGCTTGCCTCCATGGAAAAGTTGTTGCTTTATCTGGAATATTCCACAATATACACTGAAAAAGAGTCAGTTAAGTTAAAAAGACTTAACTTAAGAACATTTTACTTTGTTTGAGTAGATTCAGCCTGACAAGTAAAATGATCTACCAATGGAATAAGTGTGTTTTTCTTAATTCAAGCAACATTCGATTTTGTTTCTTATTTTAAGTGCAAAAAGTTCTTGTTTTTCTTGTTTTAAGAGTAGCAAAAGTATTTTCATATTTTAAGTACAAAAAGTCTTGTTCCACTGGCAGATAATTTTACTTTATTTTTTTGTTAAGTGGAATTTACTCAAATCATGATAAAACTTTCTTAATTCAAGTCATCTTAACTTGACTAGATTTTGTTTTTTGCACTGTAGATTAAATCTACCCTAAGGGAGGTTACAGCACTAGATCATTTTACTTGTCAAGTTGAATCTACTCCAGTAAAGTAAAAGGTTCCGTCATTTTCACTTACCTAGATATTGTTTTTTTTTCAGTGTACACTACATTACATTTTGGATCTGCATCCCTATTCACAGAAGAAATTATTCTATTTTTGAGCAATAGAAACATGCTCGATGTTATGCCGTGTAACATTCCAGGCAAAGCAATAACATCTCCATGGAGACAAGTAGGTAGCAGACCCTCCAGCAGAAAGTTGCACAGTGCACATTTAATAAGGCATGGACAGACTTAATTTGTAATTCATGCTTAGTAACTACTTATTTGGGGGCTTATGGGTAGTAGTTAGGGCATTAATAGAGTTACTAAACCTGAGACATTTTTAAGTTATTTGTTCATTATGAATTAAGTCTTTGTTCATGCTTTATTTAGACAATTAAAAGACTGGTTAGTAAAAAATTTACTTACTCATCTGCTTTCTAACATTTACACCTATGACAGTTATCCTTTACCTTTACCCTTCTTTACCCAACATCTCATATATACTGTCGCATCCTGCACACAGAATATTTGACAGGGCAGAACAAATGTAGGTAAAGTGTGTGAAGAGGCAATCAGAAAATAGTCAGTAAATAATGCATTCAGTTTGTTAAAATTCTAAATTATCAAGCTCTGAATAATATTGCTTCCTATTATATTGATGTTTGAGTTTGAGTATTAATTTTATAGTCAGTTTTATTATAATAAATTTTTACTGCCTTTCCGTAATTGAGAAAAATTTTAAATTGTTCAAACTTAGGCCTACTTCTTGCTGTTTAAAATGTGAGATACAGCCCCTTACTATATATTAATTTATCTATGAAGGTAATTGATTGGTCAGGGTATTATTAACCATGCTGATGATGAGTTAGATTAGATTGTTGTGAGCTCTGGAGAAAGTGTGTTTCTATCACCACCTCACTGTGAGTAAATAGGACAGCAGCCTCATTAGCATCTTTTATTATCCAATTACAAACAGGGCTCGCCTAATTACCTCCAATCAGCAGGAGAGGGAAAATGATGGACTTCCTGTTGGAGGGAAATCACTCAGGACACAGAGGACAAACGGGGCACAGAGGGACGAGTGCCAGGACTGGGTTTAAGGGTTTAGGCTGAGATGTGTTTTGTGTGAAGATGTAAGTTCAAGGCCTTTGCATGTTCAGGAAAGAGATTTTGAGCCCATTATGAATTTTGGTCATTACCCAAACTATAGCTGAGTTCACATTTGTACTTGTTGGATCCTGCTGTGAGCTCAGTTGTAGATGTAGGCTTAGTTTTGACCTGACTAGTCCAAGTCTAGTCCAGAATTAGTTCCAAATGTTGCCCCAGTTTAGTCCTAATTTTGATCTATGGGTAATGATCATCACCCTAGACTACATAAAATTACAATTTGTGCTTTGCCCTCTTCATTTTAAAGAGTTAAAATAAAGCATTTAGTCAGGTGACTGGCTTATATAAAATGCTGACCAAAACATTGGTCTATCTCTAGGCCAGGATTAAGTAGACCAGTAGGGATTTATTGGCCATAATACAGTATTTACATTGAAAATTAAGTCTTTCAAAGCAGGGAGCCAATTAGTCCAATCTAAAAAAGCTTGAAGTCAAAAAATCAAACTATATGTGCACTTCACTACTCCAGCTTTTAACATTCAACCTTTGATTTCACGAAGTATGTTTGATTTTAGAGTTTGAAAACTCTGATGTCTGCCAGGCATTTATCAAACATGGGTTACATCTGTCACAGAGCTTTATCTAAAAATAGTGAAGAACTACATAAATATAATAATAACAATAACAAATAATACATAATAATCCATATAAATTCTGTTTTATGTGTGGAGTCCTTCTTCACACAGGCCCTTATTCCCCCCCCAAGGTTATGCTGTAGTGTTATTGAGTTTGTGACAGGGAGATAGTGTAGAAATCATTTGGAAACAGCTGCAGGAGCGATTATCCTTCGTCAGAGGATGAAGGGCGGCCGCTGCACAAGGTTGTGTTTGTGGCTCTATGCATCATTATTAGACAATTAATTAGTCTGTCATCAGCCAGGACCCAACCACAGATGTTCTAGACCTCAGTAATTCAACTTTCTCCATCTAACTAAAACTTTCAGAAATTGACTTTATTTCACGTGTTATTATGTTTTGGGAGATGTGAGGAGATGCTGGGAATAGTGCATGCCGTTGGGACAGAGTGTTGTTTACAGACGGTGACAGGGATGGAGGACCTGTGTGCTTGGAGATGCAGCCCCTGGGGTGTGCTGCTGCTTCCTCTGCTGCTGTGGAGATTGCAGTGTTCACCTAAAGCACAGTGGACACAAGCTGTTCACTGAGAGACTGGGTTGGGTTTAATCAGGGATATTCCTCAACTTGGGCTGCTAGCTCTACTGTAGGTTTTTGTCCAATCAAAGTTCAATTCAGGATTGTGTATGGAAAATTGCATGTTTCAAAATAAATGAAAGTATCAGCCAAACCAGACGTACATTCAAAATGGAGTCATGCAAACACATGGTCCTTGGTAAACTGTGAACCGTGACACTGCACTTGAGCCAAAATGACAGTGATAAACTTAAATGATTTTCTAAGGAAAGAGGTTGTTGATAATTGTATAGCAGGAATATTTTTTTATGGTTTTGTGGTTTTATTTAATTGTTTTAATTAATCTGTTTATAATAAAATGTAAAGTATTTTCAGTCTGCCCTTAAATGTGTCTCTACCAACATTTTACTGGACTCATCAGTTCCTAAATAACCACAGAAATGCTGTTAACACCACAAAGCCAAGTGCGACCTCAGTCCCCTAACCTTCTGATGCTTTCTAATGTTTATCATCCAAATGATTCACCAATCACTTAAAGTAACTGCACTGACCTCAAGGCTGGGATTAGCCCCAGAAACACAAGGGGCAACACACCAACCCAGAAACAGAAAACACAGGAGCAGGCTCAATGCAATACTGACAAAGTCTGTTTAATATTGTTGATATTCTTTTCTTAAAATACAGTCTTTTCTGAGGTAGACCAATACAGTTCAAGAACATTATTATCATTTCAAAAGAGACATCAAAAAAGACATGAAATAAATACTTTCATGTACAATATGCCGCAAAAATGAGGTAGAAATGGTTACAGAAAATGTACAATAACCAAACTGCAACAACCAATTAAAACATGTAAAAATAAAAACCTATTTTGTTGGACAAACTGGGCAAATTACAATTTAAATGTGACATTTGTGGTTGTGGAATTAATTTAATAGTGAATAATGGATTTTCAGAGCTCCTGCAGCAGAGGCTATGTTTTGGGTTGCTCAGACAGTGATCAGTGTGCACAGCAGGGGTCTCTCTGATTGATCAGGCTGTATGGCATGAGTGAAGCCACCAGCTGGAGAGGGGAGCTGTGCTCTGATATAGGGTTGCTGGACATCAATCAGGCCACTTCCACTCCCCAAGAGTGGGTCCAGGCGGGAGGCAGGAGGGGGCTGGGAGGACGCAGCAGCGCCACATGGCCACTGGGGCTCGTGACCAGGGGGCAATCCAATCTAATGAGAGTGCATTGGGGAGAGAAAAGGAGAGAAAGAGTGATGGGGACGGACCAGTAGGAAATATTACGTCATTGAGTGTATGAGCAGCCATGGCAACAGTCAAATATAGTGAGCTGTTTTTTCCAGTGTGTTGAAGAGGACCTTTCTCTGGATTGTCTACATGTGGGTTACTCATTGTGACCATGTTTATTTGAGTTTGGGATTCACTAAATGCTCATGGTAAATGTATACAGAATGTATTGTGTCTATTCAATGGCAAATGGCATTTGTGCTCAGATCGTCAGTATGAGTCCATATGTGATTGTTATATATTTACAGCAGACATGCATATACATGATATGTAAACATGAGAATCACAGCAGTTTGTCCAACAAAATCAGAAATATTTTCTGTTGTTAACATTTCTTAGACAACCATCACTCCACCATAAACTACAATGAAAATAAAGGATGAGGGAACAGAAAGAAAGGTATTTATATATTCATATATAATAATACATGGATTTATGGCATCAAATATCCTTTGAAATACCTGAATTACATTCAATGTTACTCTTTGTAGCATATTCAAGTTTCTCTGCCGAGGTAAAGCCCAGCTGCAGTGGGTATGACAAGAGACAGGCTTCTTCACTTGCTGCTCCTCTCTACTAAGACCCTAAGATTACATACATTCTTTATTTCATATTCTGAGGTAAAGAAATTCTTCCTGAGCATTTCAAACAAGACTAATACTACGAAATAAAAGGTACATGAGGACAGACCAAGGGGCTGGGTGTGCACTGTTGTTGGGAGCAGGAATCTCAGGACACTGCAGCGATGAGGAATGTGACACATGCATTTACAGAAGCACATGGTGAAGGAGCTTTCAGTTTGATATTGTATACAATACAGTTCTCCAGTGTGAAGGGCAGACACTTCTCAACTTGTTTTGGTGGAAAGCTCTAAAGATTTGATTTTGGACTGAGACCGGATTTATTTGAGGAGTACAACAGCAGCATATTTGGTTCAAATTGTTTTTGGTCAAAACAGTAATTTACTGCAGATTAGCTGAAGCCCTTCGAGCTGCATGATTAGTGAAAGCCCAATGACTGACTATAAGGATAACACAGAGTTGAAATGGCAATAAATAGGATCCTGAGAGTCGCAGTCAAAGGGAGGATTTCCTAAACCCTGATTATCCATAATCTTGGACCACGTCACCTAGCAACATATAATTGATTTTGTCCTGGACCAAGGCTAATCAGGATGTGGTTTACTTTCTGATTTTCCCATAGGCCTAACAACTTATACACTACCCCACACATCAGGCCTTTTTGTCTTTCTTGTCTTTGGGGAAAAATATTGCAGATATTTTCAAAGCAAACTAAAGTAGCACACCATGGCATGCTAAAGCCAAGCCAGCATTAGCTTGTCTCTCCTTGACGCTATCTCTGGCTCTTTTGGCTGCATAATCTGAAATTACAAAAACAACACATTCGCAAGGCTTGCCATGTCTGGGTCATGGGGCAGTTCGAGCAGAGCCTGGCTGCTCTCAGTGGCTGTACATCTTGCTCCACTCTAAACAAGTGTCCAGTTCTTTAGTGGTGCTGTGTGGGCGCACCTTACAGAAGGCATTCTCAAAGTCTGTAAAGGCAGGGGGCTTGGTGGGCGTGGGGATCCCATGGAGGTTCCCTGATGGAGAGGCAGAGGACAGGGCCTGCTGACTCAGCTGGATCAGCTCCCACACAGAGAAGCCCTCTGAGCGCTGCAGGACTGCACTCATCTCTCTGTCACTCAGCCCACAGCTATGAGGTCCTAGTGCCTGCAGCAACACCTGCCTCCTCATGCTCCCGTCTGGCAGGCCCACGTGGTAGCGCTTGGCAAAACTCCGGTGCACTGAGTCCTGCAGGAGGTCAGGCCTCCCAGTGGCACACACCAGGATCACAAGGCCACTGGAGCCCATCTGGGCCTTCTCCAGAGCAGACAGCAGTATCTGCCGCAGGCCCTCCTCCTCCAGGGCCTCCATGTGACTCAGCAGCACCACTGAGGGCTGCCGTGCCCCCGCCACCTGCAGCAGAGCACCCAAGATGTGCTCTGCCTCTGCCTTACCTTTGGCAACCAGCATGGCTCCACTGACACGGTAGAAGGAGGCTCCCAGCTGTGAGGCCAGAGAGCGGGTGAGTGTGGTCTTACCCCCTCCGCGAGGACCAAACAACAGGACGGTTCGGGGTGGCCTCACTACAGGACTAGGCCTCAGTACAGGCCACAGAATGTCCTCCTCCAGAGCAGCCTTCACATGGGTCAGTCCCACTAGGTCAGTCCAGCCCAGTGCAGGGGAGCAGTCCAGTAACTCCCCATTGACCAGATCCAACAGCCGAGGGTCCGGGCTCTTCAGAGCATCTGTGGGGGCACATAGTGAGGGCCGTTTATGGGACTGGGAACGGTGCTGAGAGTAACTCTGTTCAGAAGCTCCATTCTCCCCTGTGAGCCCGGCCGGGGGGCTGTAGTCCCCCGCCCCATACTGAGGGGACACCAAAGGCTGCGAGGAGGGCTTAGTGGGTTTGAAGCTCTGAGTGTCTGTGCTGCCTGAGCTGCTGAAGCCATTTCCTCTGCACTCTGTTTTATCAAAAGGCGAGCTGTACTTTCTAAAGCGTGAACCATCCCCATTCTCATCCTCCTCCAGTCCCATTTCAAAGGCCTTTCTTTTCAACGTGCCACCAGATTCAGAGGCCAGAGTGGTGTTGGGGTAGCTGTAGCTGCCTCCGACCACTGCAGGCCTGGTGGGGACTGGGGTGGGGGCAGGCAGACCAGAGGGCAGGTAGGAGGCAGAGGGGTGACTGTAGCTAGAGGTCAGGCCTGGTTGGGATGGGTATGTGCTCGGGGTGTAGTTGTAGGCCGGTGTGGGTGGGCTGTAGCTGGGCACCAGTGTGGGGGTGGACTGCAGAGTGTGGAGCGAGGCTGGGGGAAGTGCTGCGCTGGGCTGGGGACAGTAGCCTGATGAGAGATAGGTGCCATTATAGGTGGAGGGGTACTCATTGGAGCCACTGCAAGAGCTGCTGCCACTGTAGCCAGAGTCTGACAGGTTACTGTTGACTACTGACACAGTGCTGGCCCCCGGGGGCCCCGCAGTTGTGGTTTTAGAACCTGGCAGACTATCGTGTCCCCCAGAGGCTACTAAGGAGTATGGGGCATCAGTGCTGTGTGTGAGCGGCCAGGGCTCCAGTTCAGTTTTTTGACCATTGAGTCCAAAAGCTCCAGGCTCAGGGTATGTGCCAGGTCGGTCATAGGGCGAGTCCAACACCCCAGAGTACTTCTCGGCGTAGCGCTTCAACAGGTTGGACGCGGTGAGGGCAGAGATGTCATCGTTGGCCCAAGCGTAGCTGTAGGAGCCACGGCTGCGGCTCGAGTACAAGTCCGACTTGTGTGCCGGTGACGAGGTGGTGGACGACACGTCTAAGTGCTGCTCCGGCCACTGGCTCAGGGGCTGGGCATGCTCTGGGGTCCAGTGCATCTTCAACAGGCCTGAAAAAAACACATGTTACATTAGATAAACGGTTTGAGTGTTTAGGACATTAAAGTCTTTAAAGACAATATATAACTCAAAACTTTTTTACTTAGCATGATGTGATTGCACAGAAGATCAACATAACATGAATGACAAAAGTTACAGAAGATATGGTCAACGTTGTGTTTTTGTAGCTGACGCTGAGCTGTGATTAGATCCCACACTATCCCCATCCTGCTAGCATCTGCAGCTCTCCCAGAGGACCTATTGTTATCTCCCTTTTGCATGTTGCTGTGAATGCCTGCTCTCTCCGCCCTGCACCCCCAGCTACCACCCACCCAAGCAGCGTACACCACATCTCCACAGAGTGAGCGCCGGCTGGACAGTGGTGTGGAGAGAGTGGGAGAGAAAGAGGGGGTTGGGTTTGGGCCTGCAACATAGTGTGCTATTCATCAGCACAGTCTCCCATGGAACATTGGGAAAGTGGAATGTGTGTTTGTGGGGCTGACTTCAGCACGGGTCCGGTCTGATCGATCACGGCTGCTAAGTTCAGAGCTAACACTCAGCTAACACAAGGAAATTACTTTTAACACAAAAGATGCAAAAAAACCTTTCATTTTCAAATATTTATTGCTCTAATTATTTGATCCCACATTCAGGATTCACAACAGTTAACAATGTCTGTCTTTTTGTTTTATTCATTGTTTAGAGCTACGCTGCATTTAAGTCTTTACATTTCCTATTTACCTCATGAGGACTAGCACTACTTCTTGCTGAGGCATTAGCTTAACATTCCACACATAGCTTGGCATTATTGAACTGTCATGATTTAGCCCGAGGTGAGCATTACTCGAGCTAGAAAACAGAGAGGTAAAGAAATAAAGCAAAAGCTGTGATTACTGGCTTGCTTTTCCTTCAGTAGACTACTCATGATTCATTATTCATAACCACCTGCGTGTGTGCATGTGCAGAGCCAGGCCTTATTGCCATTTAAATCAAATCTCAATATCCAGTGCCTCTGAGTCCACTGCTGCAGCTTGCTCCTAAACTTTAGCCTCTTTATTTCCCTCCTCTCCTCACCTCCCTGTGTGTGTTTTCAGATTATACCCGTTATTTATTCAGCCAGATGAGATTCAGTCACACCAGATGGCCGCTGGATTATCATGTCCTTCATATTCAAATCCACTGCCTTAAGTTCCCAATGGCCACACCAGTTCAAGTGTTTTTTTCACTATTACCACAAGACAAACTGGATATTTCAACTTCTTTTGGTAAATCCACACCCAAATGACCACATATTTTTTCTGGTTGGACTTGCAGAGGTCTTTATCCAAAAGCTGCAAGAAAGAAACTGTATATGTCCTCAAGGCCCTTCCCATCTGCAGCCTGACCAGTTTGTGAGCAGCAGCAAGCAGCCCCAATAATGGGCCCTGTGTGTGACAGAGATGGATGAGAGCCCAAGGGAGCTCATAAAACCTGCAGCAGGGAGGGGAGGGGTGAGGTGGGGTGGGGGGAGAGAGAGTGGACAGCAGGCTTCGTCCTCTTCAAGTGGGCCGGAGCGGACATTAGAGGACTCAGCCAGGCGGGCTAACGGCTGTCTACTCCATCATCAGAGCAGCACCAATACAGAATGGGACCCTAACCAACTCCCCCACCAAACCCACTCTGACCAATGTAATGACCAGCTGGACTTAAAAAAAACAATCCACGGTCAATGCGTAGTCAAATATGGGTAAATTAGATTCCTTCCAAGTGCTTTAAGAGTGAATAAAGGAACAGTACAATGCTTCACATTGTGTCTTTAAAGAGGCACAACAAGAGTTATTATACCGTGGCTACAGTAGATAGTTGTCATTCATTATCTAGTATGGAAAAGCAGACATGGGATGCACACGCTTGAAGTCATATAGGGTCACCGAAGCTAAAAAAGAAACCCTGTTTGAGTATAAGAAAAACAACTGGTATGAGTAAGAGGATATACTGGCAGTTCCTTTGCTGCTATTATTCTTAAAGCATATGCATAATTTAATCCACATGCTTTTTCTCCTGTCTCATAAGTTGACCAACTATAGCTAGAGCATGTATTAACATTCACTAAATTCTGAACTGCCTTTAAACTCCATTTTAAGGGCATAGGAGGTTATGTGATAGGGGCTGAGTGGCAGGACATCACTCAAACACGTTGGACGCACAGCAGGGTGGTCAAGCGGCAATTAGAGCCTGCCTTCTGCTGGACACTGCTGCACCAGGCCTCCACAATAAACTGAGCAAAAGCCTTAATCTACAGTTCTGCTTAAATCAGAAGCATCATCTAGATTAATTCACTGGGGGCCAGGAAGAAAGCTAAGATTAGAAGTGGAAAATCAGGACAATGTGGTCAAGATCAGGCTACTGGGACAAAGTAGATGCATTTGATTATCTTGTAGATCTGAGCTAAAGTATAAATCATTTACACCTTTTTTAATAGTAGGTGCAACAGTCAGACTGTTATTTAAATAGCAAAAAGAGAGACTCTTTACATTAATCATTGAGAGATGATATCAGATATGCACCAATAAATCTGAATTTTGCAAAAGTATTTTAATTTTGAATTTTGTTTGTTTTTTGCAGTACAAACTACTAGACTACTTGATTTTGTTTTAAAATGTAATTACTTGGTTTAGATAAAACTATGATTCTACACTTCACAAAACAAGAATAGTTAAGAGTTACCATGACTAAAGACACTGTTGGCTAAAAATATTAGTTGCATTACATCTTAAAATGCAAATATATCATGTTAACAGCTAAAACATTTGTATGTTTTGCCAACAATATGCAGAAGAGAATGTAAAGTGAATTAATATCCCCTGTTTAAGTTAAGACTAGGTTGAAAGGGTTGTTTGCAGGTGGTTGTGTTGACCAATAGTCTTATATGCGTTTGTGGGCCTGATAAGATCCCTATGTGTATGTTTGGGCTCTCGCTCTCACTGTGGGAGAAAAGTCTAAACCCCAAGAGAGACAGATGTTCGTGCACTGACCGCCTTACTGTCTGCACCGCCATTGTGGTCTGCGGCCGGCCAGCAGACGTGCGCACTCCTCGGACAATCCAGTTGGCTCTGAGACAAAGCCTGAAGAATCTTATTGTCAAGGGCCTGTCTAATTATGGAAATCTTATTAATCTATTCAGCAGCAGTCCACTGACAGCTTTTGTGTCAGCCCAGGATTTATTGAGGGACCTGTGTGAGCTGCATCCTATTGAGGGACTTCGTGATGAAGGCAGTGTCGTGGGCTCTCAAACCGAATTTACTTTGAGAAGGCCCTAAAATGACAATAGGACGCCTATTGCTCTTGGGAAGTGTTAAAGCTCATTTGTGATTTCGTTTTTGCCAATAAAAGTAATAAAAGCCACCATTTGCTGTGTTCACTCACTCAGTTTGAATTTCATGTTGACTCATTGAAACTCAAGATGGCTTTGGTCCGTAAAGGCTGTAGTACTCGAGAGCGTGTTGTGGTTTCCTATAAAAGGGGTATCATTGGTCAGGTTAAACGTTATCCTGGCAGGAAGCCCAGAGACTCCAATGGCTCCGGTGGCGGTTCACTGTTCCCTAGAGGATACTTCTCTCCTTTCTCTCTTCCTGGCACTTTTTGTTTCCCCCCTGCCCCGAGGAACAAACTGGACACGGATGCAACAGGCCTTCTGGGACAGTGCGCTATTAAACCGTGCCGATTGTGAGGAGGCCGCTTGTAAACAAGAGCTCTGGATCAATCCAATCAGGGTCCTATTCAGAAGCTTCGACCCCCACCTCCGCCACTAGAATAAACTACCAACACCTCCACTCCATCATGCACATCTATAGCTCACATGCTGTTAAAACCCACTTTAATATAGGCTTTTAAATCCTGTCATCTTTTGTCCTGGAAAACAACCACTTTCTCCAACACCTAATTCGTTTGGGAATGCCGCACTAGTCATTGTGGCAGTTTGTCAGGAATGCAATTTGCTCAGCACAAGTTTACACAAGCACCACTTTGAGAAATAATAGCTTAAATGCTGCCATGCTAAAGACCCGGTGGCTTAAGACAGAAGGGCAGAGTAGGACAGAGGCTTTATTTGTGCTGATAAAACACAAAGTTGACGCTCTGATGACTGCAATAGCTCTTATGCATTCAGCTAACACAAGATAATCGATGAATTATTGGATGAACTGTCCTGTGCATAAATATGTAAAAGCATCTCTTTCTTGTTGACCACACTTTAGTTTTTCACACATGTGCCGACTGAAAGCACTTTCTTGTCTGACGCAAAGCAAAACACGTGAACTTCAGTTATTTATAAGTTTGTTATCTTGATTTGTCATCTCGTCCTGGAGCCCCCAAAGTCCTCTGTTCTCAAGTTCACTGTGATTTATGGCTCTAATATCAGGCAGGACGTTCTCACTAGGCCTCGGCTGCATACTACCTGGGCTGTCATAAAAACACCAATCCACAAGCTGGCTACATTTCACCCAGTGGCAGGTGGAGACACTGGAAAATTGTCTGAGAGAGTCCCTCTCTCACTTTGGTGTGAAATACGCATTATATCAGCTCCAGCACACGCCGTACGGACACGCTGTGCAATGATGTATTCTGGCTACATATAGGAGAGTACATTTGTGGGTCCTGGATCATGTTTAAAAAGTGCCTCACAATGACAAATAGCACAACCGCACAAGGATGCTATTCTACTACTATGTTTTTTTTTTTTAAATGGTCAGTATTTGAGTTTAAGGTTGGCTGTTTAAAAATATATACAGTTATATTATCCTACTTAAGTGTTAAAATAAAAACAAAACAAAACAAAAATTACTATTCTTTTATGATCTGGCCAAAGTAGCTCCATATACAAAATGAAGGCACTTAGATCACATTAAGTATAAAAAATATTAATAATAAAATAATAATATAAAATTAATAAAATAAAATAAATAATAAAATTCAATTTATTTGATTGTCTTTCTAAATTGTAATAGTACAAGCTACCAATAACAGCAATGTTCGAATGTGTGTATAAATCCCAGAAAAACTTGAAAGAAGTGCACCTGACAGAATGAACAGCAGTGGCCAACAGTGACTACTCAGGCCATCATCATAACTCATGGGCTGTGCCTAATTAGGCCCAGCCAAATAATATTATTATAAATGTATGTGTTACTCAAAAGGCTGCTATCAATCACCTGACACAAAATGGCACACTGGTAGTGACTCCCTCCAGCTCATCTGCTGCTTCTTTCAGGGCCCTAAAAAGATGTAATAACAGAAGAGTGCGGGAGTTTTCACACCTGCTGCCCTGCACGGGAGCAGACGCAGCGCTTTTCAGAGCAGCCGGTCCCAGAGGAAGAGGCCGGTCCTGCACTGAGACATGTCCTCTGTGTCTCTTTGTGGACAGAGCGGCCACTCCAACATACATCAGGCTGACAGCTTGACTCACTATTTTTTGTTTAGTCCCCTGAGCCTGTGTCAGGCCCACTGTCAAAGCAGCTTTTGTCACTGTTTGCAGCTAATTTAGTTTTGCTAAAGGTAAAGGACATTATGACAAGTAGGGTCTGGTGATATGACAAAGTGAAACTGAAATGTGATCTGACTCTGTGACATTTTGCCATTTTGTTAAAACTTGATTCTAAGCTTTTCTGCAGGTGTATAACACAAACTGTTTCCCACCAACCCTTCTTATTAGTCAGCCTCGGTTATGACAAACTGGCTTAATCAATCACAGTCAAGTGTGAACTGTCAGAAGAAACAGATAGTTATCCATAAGTTGATATAAAGTTGCTAGGCATATACACATGAATCATGACTTAAAAAAATTTAACTGTGACCTAGCTGATATACGTGTAACATATAAGACAACAGGCTTTCCTCTTGCCAAAACCCATGTAACAAATGGCTAACAATAACCATGTCATTACTGTGTTCATTCTGTTGAGTGTTTGTGGTGCTGCAGCGGCCAAAATACTTGATGATGGCATTTGTTAAACATTGATTAATTGGCAAACACGTTTAGAATAGCTAATTATAGTGCCGCAAAAGCAAATCCCATCTGAGCTTAGTTTACAGCCCTTTCTCTGCACTCTCCAAAACTAAAAAGCCTGAGGAATAATTGTTAGATGCGTCACTTCATGCTCGTAATTTTAGAAATAACCCCCCCCAACCCCCACTCCCCTTTAACGCACGTCCACAAATGGCAGAAGCCCGTCTGCTCTACCCTCCCACCAAGAAAAACAGGGTCCCTATTTTCTGTGACTGCAGGCTGGCTCTAGGTCATTGTGTCCACTAATATATCAAAGAACAGCTGTCCTAAAGCTCTGTGATGACCAATCACCCTTTCCATCTGTCTCCCTCGCCCAATCTCACTGGTCCAGACCTTTACCATGCAATCCCTGCACCAGCCTCTCTCCGCGCGTTCCCAATGAGAATGTTGCACTGCCTCTTTTCTCTCCAAATCCCGGCCCTCTGAGATTAGTCTAAGAACATTGGAGCTCTGGGATTTGTTGTTTTCTGTAAGTATACACACAAATTACAGAAAACTCAATATATTCACAACAGCACTTTGTTTTTATGAGCAGCATACGACTAATGGCATAACGATTAAACCAAGTTATTTCTTAAGTGTGGTTGTTCGCTAATTAGCTGTGAAAGACATTGTGGCTCATTGTGTGAAATGTGCTGTCTCAGGAATCCAGTGAAGTGTTGCAATCCAAATGAGCTTCACCTCCTGCTTCTTAATTGGGCCCTTAATGTTTAGTGAGATGTCCTTAATGAGCTGATGGACCCTCGCAGACAGAGAGGGGAACACTCTCTTGGCCTTATGTCCCTAACCTCCTCCGCTGTGGACACACACCTTTACACACTAGGGGCTAATTAGGGCCCATTCACACCCTCCACTAATGATGTGTGCTTTTATTCACATACACTTAAATGGCTGTATGTTTACTCAAGAGCCTCACTGGCCCCTCACTGCACCACTCATACCACTTGCCCTACAATGGGCTATATGCCTGGGCGGCCCTCCAACCTGCTTCTCAGGGGCCCGCACGAACCAGCGTCTTCTTCTTTCTATTCAAACTGCTCCATGACTTGGGCGAGTCATTCAGAAAGACACTTGTACAAAACATAAAAAACAGAGGTAGAGAGGGAGAGGCAGCAGCGCGGGGTCAGTCAGAGGAGAGCTATAAAATCTGCCAGACCTGTACTGTGTGTGCGTGTTGTAAAAGAAAAGGTATCGCTGAAGCAGCGGGGCCCCTGCAACAAGAGTTAGGGCACTCCTGGGTTGGCGGCCTGGGACTGATTTAAGAGTCTGTTTGAAGTGCAGATTACAGATTCTTTGCACCAAATCCCTCCAGGAGTATCCATGGCCCCTGGAATCTCTCTCAGGTTACTCCTCCGCTCCGGCCGCTGCCTGCCCCAGCTTGAAGCCCTCTGGACTGGCCGGACATGAGCTCTGAGGCTGGACACACCAGCAACAATAACATGGCAAAGAACCAATGTGGTTGACTAAAACCAATCTAAACCATGTGTCATCATGCACACATTCCCATGGACCTGTTCAGTGCATGACCACAAATGCCTACAGCAGGAGTCAGAAGTAGCACTGGGAAGTGGAAATTCCCACAAAGTGAATTTCAACATGGATGTGAGAGTCTTCACATGTGCTGCATATATGCAAAGTGCCTCACTGTCAAATTGCTGTGTAAAATCATGAGTCCAGTCTTTAAGTGGGAGATGGTGAGACGCACACGGATGTTTGTGTGTCACTGGGCTGAGAGCAAACAGCAGTGCTCCTCACACCGCTGTGTGCAGCCGTAGACATACAGATTACTACAGTGGACACTGCACTGGAGCAGTGGAAACAATCTGCTAACAGAGCACGCCTGTGCACTCTGGACACATGAAAACCTGCATTGTGCCTCACCATCATAAAAGCTTTCACACACAAAGGCCAGTACAGAGCGCACTGAAGTTTCCCATGACAGAAAAGCACTGGCCGTTCTAGAAGCATGTTACTCATTTCATCAGCAGTTTGTGACATTCTAGGATACAGTGTCCACTTGACTCGAGGGAGTGTCCTCAGGGTGGGCTCTTAGGCCGCTGGGAGCTGATGGGACAAGCAGACTCTGCACAAACCTGTGTGGTGTGTTTACAGCACAGCCGCCTGGAGACATTACAGTCATTAAGCATTACCTCAACAAAGGGAGAGGATTAACAACTGATGCAAACAGTTGAGAGTATTATGTAGGAGCACAAGTGTATATAGTGTACTGCATTGAAGCTAATAAGTTTTATATCCTTCTAGAAGAACATTTTCCTTGTGAAGCCTTTCAAGCTAAATTGACTGCCTGTCTATGGGTCTTTAAAAAACATTTTTACTGTTAATTTATTTTACAGACATGTACAACCACTGGTTTTACTCACAAAGCTGCCCTCAGATTCCCTTTATCTGCTCAGTGCCTTAGAGATAACTTAAGACCAATGACCAAAACAAATGTCATGATGACTGTCCACACCTACAGGCAGCACATTCACTCTCCCACGTGCCTGACCTGCTCAAACTCTGACTTCCATTTTTTGCACATTAGCGCAGCCATCACCAAAGCAAACCCTGTGTCTCCTATAAGTATTACTTTGTCAATCAAGAGTTACGTTTCACTCCACTCTTTTCATGTAACTGTCATGCTGATAAAGCCCCTTTGAGACTGGTTAAAGAGCTAGGAAAAGGGGGCTCTTCACGCAGAAGCCCCATGCTGGCCACAAAACAATGCTGTTTTGGAGAAGCTGAGCACTGCACTCCAATGCAGCCTGGTGGGAGGGGGAGCCAGGACTGGACACGTCAGTTATTAGGTCAGCGCAGAGGGGGAAGAGGCGCGGGGGGAACAGCATGTGTGGTAGTAACTCTTGACCGTGTTGGTAAAATGACACTGGCAGAACTGATGGCTTTCTGCTGCTTAAACCATCAGCACCACAGTCTCCTCCGCCCCTCTTCCTCTCCCACTGTCTCCCTTCCGCCACGTGATGAAACATTCAGACCGGACCAGGACCTGGGTTTAGCCTTTCCACAGCACGTCAAGGAAAACTTTGCCCTTTTTCACTGGTCCTCTTTGTCCTTTCAGAAGATGCTTCATATAAAATGCTAGAGTTGGGGACTCACCTCAGTATATAAAGTTTGATGTTCTTATGAAATCTTTATAGAGTGTAATTCATGTCAGAGCTTATTTTGTCTCTTCTGTACCCTTCTTTTGGGCTTATTTAAAATAGATCAGATTGTAATTGAGTAGTATATGGTATTCATAACACTGGATAACAACAATGATGAATATACTAGTTTCTATAAATTCACTGAGAACATTTTGACTTTAAAACAGATAAAAAGTGTTAATGTTGAAATTAGAGTTTTGCCACTTTTCTTCTTGTGGTCATTGAACTTTTTAAATAATTAACAGCATCTTGTATATGTTCATTTTAGGCAAAATAATAAGGCTGCTCCCTCTATTTTTAGAACTCATTGATTTAGCCAAAGTCCAACTAAAAGTCAAGTCCTGTTTGGTGAGATGACACAGATGTTTAGTACTCACTATAGGGAACAATGGGACTCAGCATTCTGTGGAGCTGGTCTCAGTTTGAAGGAATGCCGTTTGGTGAATGCCAGCTCAGGTTAGCGTCCGTCCAGCTGTAGTCCATCACTGGTGGGCTCTTCCGTTGACGACAACTGCCCTGGAGACAAAAAGAACCAAAAGCTGTTACAGACCGTCGCACAATGTCCACAGAAAACACTCAAATGTCAACTAACGGTCTCAATCCACGCGGCGTCTGATTGAGTTACGGACCAACCTGAGAAGCCTATATCAGTGTGACCAAAACATGCACAGAAAGAAGAAGAGTAGAGTTGGGCAAATTGACACACACAAGGGGATTCATTATAGGGCAAAGCATTAAGCTGATTGTGAGGCGTCCAGCCACTAAAGAGGGCTTTCTAAATCTGCCTGACAAAAAAGGACTGGGTGCATACCACTGCTCTGTGCACTGGGGCAATAAAGAGTGCATTCTTAGGAGACCAAACAGCTGCACAAGCCAAAAGCAAAAAGAAAGAATGAGTTTTGTGCAAACGCAAAAAGTTGGAAAAGGAGTTGTGCCTTCACCTGTGTTGTAGATTCAAGAGTAAAAGATTATACAATACTGTTCAGTATCAGTAAGTCTGTAGTTTTAAACAAAAATTAAATACGTTTTTAGTTCAGCATTTTCAAAAATAGTACTATTTCTCAGATGGACGCTTTGGTGTTTTATGCTGTAATAGTTTTTTATGTGTCATATTTGCATATATTTATTAAAAGTAAATATACATAATCAAGTCTTTTTTTAAATTGTTGCATGTCTTTGTCTGCAAAGAAATTTAAAAATTACTTAAATGCAATTAAAAAAACATAAAAATATAGAAACAAAAAAAGTCAACAGCATTAAATCAGAAGAAAAGACATGCAAAATCAAAGCACACATCTTAAGTTTAAAACCAATCCAATCTAATGTAAAAGCCCTAAAAATGTATGGTATCTCTCAAATGCACCAAACGTCAAAACAGTGATGGCTGTTGTACAACATTAAGACTATTATATAACAAAAAGGCACCTCACTCAGAGAATAATGTTGCCCATTTCCAATCACTCATGTGCCATTCATCTGGAGGAGCAATTACGCAATAACTGTCTCCGGACACCAATCTAGGACATCCCGGCTCGCCAACTGACTTTTACCATGCAACACCTCGTCTAACAATAATACATAATAATACATAAAACTGCTAAAAAAAACATAATTTCCTACTCAGAACAAACCCAGATCTGTCCGTGCATAAGGCAAGCACCGGTTAAACATGTCTTGGTAAACATAAGAACAGCAAGCTACAGTAACAATACTTAAACTTCTTTAAATTCAATGACAGAGCATAAAAACAAAAGAGGATGTATTCTTACCTATTCATGCCTCTATATTGTCCATCAGATCTCAAAATGCTGCTAGGATAATCCCTGGAGTGGAGCCGTGTTCGCTGCTAGGCTTTTTTACACATGGGACAAGCACAAGTGGACTCTGCCAGCCCCTCTCTGTTCTGCCTCTCTCTGGCCAGTGACAACAGAGCAAGCAAGCGGCTCTCCATGAGCTCACCCCTCCCCCACGCCACTCCCCTCCCCCTGGCCCCCCCTCCTTTCTTTCTTCTCTCTCTCTCTCTCTCTCTCTCTCTCTCTCTCTCTCTCTCTCTCTTCTCTCTCTCTCTCTCCCTCCCTCCCTCCCTCCCTCTCCCTGTGGCTCTTTATGCTAAATGTATTTAAGTAAAGAGAGAGTAGAATTAGGGGTGGGCAGCAGTCAGGGGGAGTGCAGCCAATTGAGGAGACTGGACATTGTAGTGAAGGGAGAATAGCATAGGAAAGGGTTAGAAATTTTGGATAAAGTTCTCCTCTGCAAAGCTATGTTTGAGGAGGAAGTATCAGATAAACAAATGTGGCTACAAATGTCTTTTCTAATCAGTGCTTCCTCACAGCTCTCTGAGCCTGTTCATGTTGCTTGAATGTTGTCAAACCAGTGACTGAACAATTCTTTCATGAAAGAGTATCTTTGCACTAACAGCTGCTTCAAGCCTCACCAATTGTTTTGTCAAATTTCAGTCAAAATTAAACTGTAACACAATAATTTATGTCATGATGGGTGTCTCTATTGTTCAATAAAAATTAGGAAAAATATGCATCCTTGACCTGGTGGTGGCTTTCCAAGTGTTCATCTCTTGCCTGGAATGTTTCACAGTGTGGCATTTAACTTGTATATCTACACAGAGAATGTTCCAAATTATTGCTTTGTATTTGTATGGTGCTTAAAGTTACCAAGACTTATCTCATATCACAGATGTACTTGACTAGTAAATTAATATCACTAAAGCCCCTTTCTGCAGACGCATTCCACCTGTCATATTCAGGAGTGAAGAGTTGTGATCCACAGTGTGAGTGCAGTGATATGTCCCTAATACTCTGTGGGAGGGGGGTATGTTTCCCGTCACTGCCCGTTTGGGAGGCGCGTGGATGTAGCAGTCAGGTGCTGCTCTAGTTTCCACACACAGCTGTCAGCCTGTTTTTAGCTGCTCACTGAGGCCACATGGCCCAGTCATCTGCTCCTGTTACACAGGGCCTGTTCCTCTGTCAAGCATCTCATAGAGCAGCCCCACCGGACCCACCAACCACACTCTCCACACGCTGAGGAAAGTGTCTGAAAATAGACAGGGACGCTGTGATCATATGTTTGGAGTCCAGAGCATCCCATGCACTTCATCATGTGACAGGATTACCCAAAGTGTTTGCTGCACTGACAGCTCGAGGCACACATATGAATCATTCAACATAACACAGGGCCAAGGAAATAATGCCACTTTTACTTTCAAAATACACTAAGATGTATAGTAAAAAAAAAAATATATATATATATATATATATATATATATATATATATATATATATATATATATATATATATATATTATTTTTTTATATATAAGCCTTTGAGTCAACTAGCCACAATAAGTCAATTTATTGGCCACTTCACTTTTGTAATAGTTTGCTGCAGTCAGTGTAAACCTGTGTGTCAAAGAGCCACTAAAGCACCAAAGGACGTCAGAAACACGTTCTCCTTTGTAAGATATGTGGGCTGAGCTATTTTTGGGGACGCCCCAGTGGTCAGTGACATGGCTTAAATTGGAATGTAGGGCAATAAAGCCATTGGAGGAAACAGTGACTCATTAGAGCGGTTACAAAACTTACAGAGCAGAGTCCCAGTCCAGGAGCACAATTAGACTCCTTAATGTTTGCCTTAATATGGGATCCTCAATAGATTTGCTAATGATGTCTCTGTGGGGGGTTAGCTCAGGGTATGCTTGAGTAGGGATGTTGAAAGCAGACAACTCTGGCGCTCTCTCTATCACTCTATTGCCTTATTAGTGCTGAGGCAGCAGAGTGTGGACATAGGCAGCCTGCTGAGCCCAGCACTACTGCAGCACAAAGACTTTGGGCCCCGGGACATGAAACAAGCCAAAAAGTGTAGAAAACAGATGGACAGAGCCTGACAAAATGCAGCCTGTACACAGCACACTCACAGAGTACAGCAGAGAGGCCTGTCCATTGGCCTGTCTCATGAGCCAGTCTGACAGGTGTCAGAGAGCCCGCCCCCTGCTCAGACACATTAAGATATTTGTGCATGTTTGACAGCACTGCTCCCCTGAGCTCTCACACTTGTTCCAGTAGTGCTAGGTTACTGTGAGGTGTAGAGGTGCTGTGCAGGAGGTTAATGGAGAGACATGAGTGAAGACAAAAGTGCCGTGGCAGGCTGAAAATGCCTCCTGAATGGGCCAAGGCTACAGGTCAACACGCCTGTGTTTGACCTACAGCAGGCCACATCAACTCAACACCTACATTCAGCAGGTTGTTCGGCCGCTGACCAGCTGTGTTAGTGGGTCAGCTGGTTTTACGGAAGCAAACTGATGAATCAGGAAAATATTTAATTTGGCCAAATGAGATCTGCATACGGAGCAGCCCCAGTGTGATTAGCTAAGCAAAAGAGCACGCTGTGGTATGAACTTCCTCTGAAGGACAGATGTTGGGACCTTAATCCTCATATAGAGGTGCATTCTGAGCTGTATCAGTGAAAGACTGAAGATGTATGACTGATGTGTATTAGTTTTACACTAAAAAGTGTAGTGTAGTAACACCTTGATTAAACTTCACCCAAAAATACATATTTTCAATTGTGCATACACAAAAATGTTTAAACTGAAAAAGTTGACTTTGAAATTATTATGTATAGAATGTGCTTGTACATTATCGGTCTAAAATAAGGCTTAAAGTGAAGTATTTCAGCTGCAAAGCCCACTTTTGTGGATGATATCATTGGCACACTGACTGCAGCACTTATGCCTTTTAAAAATTTATAAACACAACATTTCTCTGACATTGCATAGGCCTCAAAGAATGAGGCTGTGCAAAGTTAAAAGGACAGAGTGGACTAAAGGTTTGGCCTCGAGAGACTAATTGTTTCCAGGAGTGTTCTGAACCAAAGCATTACCAAAGGAACTCGCAGATCTAAACTCACTTTGAGAGAAAAGAGGCTCAGAACAAATTTTGCACATTATGTTTCCCAAACACACATTACAAGTAATTTCCTGTTATTTTCTTGAGTGACACAGTTTCATCGTTGGGCAAAGAACAAGAGGAAACAACACTCCAGAAATACTTCAGAACTATGTGCCTTTTTGTCGCCACCAAAGTGTCAATGAGAGAGTGTGAGCAGTGATAATCAGTTCCAGGTTTATAGTACCACCACTAACCGAGGGGCAAAGATGAACCCTGCTTAAAAAGACATTGTGCAAGATTCATACAACGATTGACATTGATCTATTTCTTTTCAAACAACTAAGTCCTAAGCTTATTTGAACATCATTTTAAATGGGGGCTTTAAGACAATATTTGGCAACCAGAGGTACAAGGACCCCTGTGGGTACTCAATCACATTTTCACTATTATGTGATTGAGAAATGGAATGTTTTTTTCAGATTTTAAAGGTGCACTATGTAACATTTTGGGTTGGGAGTCCATCACCTCCTTGTTTCTATGAATATGTCAATGCTCTCTCTGGAATGTTCTTACATATTTGAATACTTATTCAATTACAGGTGCTTTGATAACCCAAAAACACAAAGAAAAACAGGCATTTTGACTATGAGTGGGGTCGCCTCTCCAAAAGTCTGACCTGTAACTTGGTCTGGTTTGGTCTCCTTTAAGATAGAACATTACATTTTGAATTTGAGAATTTTGGACATCGTAAGAAGATAGAAATAATAAGTAACAATTTTACATACTACGAGTAACACATACTACTAGCAAACACATACATTTGTCTAGTACCTACAGTAATCCATGATAATCAAGACAAAAAAGGTTGGGAACCACTGCTTTTGGACTGCTAGTTACTTCATTGGTTGCATTTCATGATAGTATTTTGGAGAAAACGCGTGTGGTAACTTAATTAAGTTAAGTTGCCCTGAGGAGGTAGAGAGAGGTGGAGGAAGGGCAGAAGTGTGCTGGGGGGGGGGCAGTCAGTGGGATTATTAGTGGGAGGTTCAGCTGTTTATTATTCCAATTCTATCTCTAACAGCTGAAAATTGGAGAATTAGGCGTCCGGCCCAAGCAGCCCGGGGGATCAATGAGAGGAGGTTAAACCCTGTGGCAAGGCGCGACGCACTGCCAACGCGCTCACAGAAGTCCTGACGCAGCACAAACCCAGAGGTCACCCGCGAAACTCACCAGACACATCACATTTACCGCTTGCCTCTGATAAGACACTCTTCAGGCTCTTCACACCATACTGCTGCACAAGGCTTTGGGTGGCAGGCAAAAGACAGGGCGTGGTCCTATGGGGAAAGTGGCAAGATGATTATTTTGGGGGTAAATACTTAAATTCATAATGGCAGGGTTAAAATAAAGGACTTAATACTTTTTAAGGTACTACTAATTGAGACCTTACTGAGGCGAGATGAGATGCAAAAAAGCTGTTATGAACATTTATATATAACAACCTCTAACATTGTCAATCCGTAATGATTTTTTTGTAATTCTTGATATAATGATCACAATTAATGTGTTTTATTGCACAGGTTAAATTGGTTTAAGAATGCTGTAACATGTAGAACGCAGAATGCCAACGACCAGTGAATCTATGAAAAGACAACATTGTCAAGTGTCTGTTTCAGCCTCACTGCTCTGATGAATCTTTATGTATCTATAAAAACTAAAGCCCTTTGATACTTTATTTCTCCCATTCCCTCCTCTTCACGTGCCATCAGCTGCTAACAGCGTGTGACCGAAGAGGAGAGAGCTGCAGTGAAGCAGCAGAACTGTCTCTCTCAACATGTCCAGACAGTAGTTGTACCTTTGCGCTTGTCCTCTCGGTGACTTTCTGTGGCACATAATAGTTGGCATGAAAGTGTGTGCGGTGAAAGAGTCCGGTCACGTCCGCACATGTTGTTAATCTGGAACAGGACATGTGACACTGGGAACTGAGAAACATGAACTTTCAGCACC